TGGAATGACCTATACATTCATTGTGCACGATCTACACACAGGTACATTGATATGCTTGTCAGTTTAGTGCAAAGAATGAACATTTAATTGTAATTAGTTGTATGCACAATATAAAGGTTTTTTCAGCAGTTGTTTATTCATCTACTGTCTTGATATCAGTTTGTTTCCCTGTCATTCCAGCTCCTTCTGCCGTTTTATTCATCTTGTGTACCTCAATCTAATTTCTTGCTATTTTTCTGTTAAAATTTAAATTTCATTTACATGTAGGTTGCCGTTCTTAATTCCTATTTTATTTTTTTATTCAAACTCAAGAACTCATTTGTTTTACAGTTTTTGAAAAATTTATAGTTTGATCCCAGGTCAATTACTTAAAAACCCTAATTACACCAAATCCAACAGGATTCTGTGTGATTTATACTAAACTTCAAGGGTCAGGGGTAGCTACTGCATCATCAACATTACTGCTCCAGAAATAGTTTGATATGCTACCAGTATTTCTGATGGTGTTTAATGAGGTGATACTCTTGCACCAATCTAGCAGCGGGCCTTGGTCCAATTATGCTAGAGCCTCCCTTGTGTCATGCATGGTGTGCCACGATATTGGTAACTGTCTGTGACAATAATATGAACACCAGTGCATGGCCGATACATGTCTTTGGCAAAACGGCTTAATTAATCCCTCTTAAAGGTGCAAACTGGTTCTAACAGTGTCAAGAAATATGATTCATTAAAATGAACAAATCGAGACCCATGGCCAAATGTCCTACTGCCACCATGCCACTTATTAAAGTCTCTTTCCATTCCTGAAAATTTCATCAGTGGTCTTTTGCTTTTCCTTTTAACCTGGATGTACATGTACATCAACATGTCCATATATGTACATATACATTTGTGCAAATGACCCCAGACTTTTGCTGAAGATAGAGGGCATCAACCTTCACATTCAACCTTTGCCAAAAGATGATTGTTTTCACATCTGAGTACTCACAACAACTGTATGGGTGCGCTGTTTGCAGAAGTAAGACTTTAAGGAAAAATATAAAGAAATCCAGGAGGTCAAAGTACAAGTGACATGCACCTGTGCCTCCAGTGCCTCCGTAGTGCATTTTCCCTCATCTTTTATTTCACATACAAGTGATGAGCTGTAGGTGTCAGAGAATAGTCTCAACTTTTCCTTGACTAGAATTCTATTTAACATGACTGACTGATGTTCAACACATTCTTCCAAAATGTAGATTTTCCAGTACAGCTTTGGACTTCATAGCTACATGTAGTAATAGCCTTCTCCCCGTAAATTGAAAACAAGTTACATGGACTCAATTTTTTTAAAATTCCAGGGAAACGTATAGTGCACATGTACCAATAAACTGTTAGTTTTCTTTCCAATCAGCCTTCCTTTGCGTGGATTTAAGTCAATGAGCTAGATGTTCACCCAATTAAAAATTACAATCACGTGAGTATTAATATTTCCGGTTGAGTTACTCCAGGCCATACATCTGTGCAGGATGGTTGAAATTCAATCAATTAATGCATTGAGGTCTATATGTCACGATATCAACCAGACAAGCCTTAAGCATTTGCTGAACTATTCATCCTAAATTATAAATGATCTTTTCTGAGTCGATTGTCATGGAGTAATAAATACATGAATTTGGAACCAATTTTGCATGGTAATTGAGAGGAAAGAAAAAAATAATGAATTGTTGACTGCTTTGCTGAGACTTGCCTGTGTACAGTGGTCTGAATAACAAGTACTTTCGTAGTGTATCTTTTCACAGTTTAGCACGATGGTGTACTCATATGCAGACCTAGCTGTCTATTTTTGGGATCTCTCTTAGCCCTTACAGAAATCTAAAGGAATTGTGAGCCACATAGCCTGCAGCAATGTCATTTGAGTGGAAAAAACCACTGAGGATGTGGTAGTTATTGTGGTGTAAGGATAGCAGGTTTTGGGCTTCCAGGCTATGTGGCATATACATGTACATGTAGGTCAGCAGCAATTCTTGCTGTGGATGGTGATGTAAGAACAGCGTCATTATAGACTTGGAGATTACATCGTTTTAAAGAGACTTACTTCCAACAAATAATCCACCTGATAAACAATAGTGATATGATATCATTGTTGCGTCTCATTTTGTCAAGAGTAAATTGTATTTTAGGAATTTTTATTCCTGTTTTTTGTTTTGGTTTTTGTTTGATTGGCAGTGTTTTGTTTTTGCATTTCTGTTTTAAATCTCATGTTCTCTTTTTAGTGTAGTGGAGACTACTGGTTACTGGTAGATCTTGTTATTCTTATGCCAAAATAGTTGAGTGTTTCAGTAAGACGATATCTTAGAGAAACATCACAAATCAATCCCAAGTTTTACATCGTGTCTAAGGAGTTGGACTGTTTTGAAAGCATCATTGATATCAATTGTGCCCTGTCTACCATACCAAAACATGATTTGACCCCTGTAACCTGATTTTTCTCTGTAAGGGCTTTCACAACATTTTGAAACTCAATGTCCCAGTTTTAAAAAGCATCAAAATTTGACATGCTAGTTTTGAAAAGGTTATCCAGATTTGATGAAAATTGAAAAACAGAGTTGCTGTTTGTCGGAAAATTTGGTTCCAGCTTTTCACTTGAATAATTCATGAAGGTGCTTGGCCTGTGCCGGTTACCCGGGTACCTGCTGGTCAATATGAAACCTGGTTCCATCTCTTTTGGATGGGTACCCCTATTAGAAAGACAAAATTGACATACATGTACATGTGTCAAATAAATGTGAACTTTAAAGGTGAAAGGAAGAATTCTGCTGAAAAATTACCGTGCCGCTGAAAAACCTGGTCCCGCAGACATACATGTACATGTAACTACATGTACATGCACAGTTCAGAGATCAACAGAGCTGCTTTATTACAAACTGATGGTAATAATTTCATTTAATAAAATGGGAGGGGGTGGTGGTTTCCCCTCTAATGTTTAGAACAATGTGATGCTTCCTACATATGAAAAAGAGACCATGTTTCAGGCACGTAATCCTCTGGAATTGCTTGCAATGCCATTTGTTAAGTTTTCTTTATATTTTAAGGGTACCGGGTATCCAGTATTGTCATAAACGGGTATCCGGTTCTAAAAATACCCGTCAACTCACACCCCTAGAAAGTGTGGAGCGGTATGTCTAAAGAGTGAAAGGTGAGTGAGCCCAAACCAGCTCAGAGGCCCAAGTAGCCTAAGGATTACCAAGGTGCCCCTTTGCTTTAAACCGTGGACCTGTGCTTTTAGGCAGAGTCCTTTCTGGTTCGTGTTTGTGTAAAGAATAACACCCAGCCTTTTGCCAGGATACACGTGTGTAACCAAGATATTTGTTTAATTGATGTACAGTGTAGTTATTGGTTCCATTGGACCAGTTTCACTCAACCAATTTGCACGCTTACCAGGTTGAAACTTGCCTGATTTAATTGGTTACAAAGGTCGTGTCATAACCCATTGTTTAATGACTGCGCTGCAACACTCTGTCATAACCAATGTAACACGTAGACGCAGTATTGAGCGTGACCGTTTGTCATTATGAATCAGATTCTCTAGGGAAATGTTGACTCAGAAAAGGGAACCTTGTTGAAAAAAAATGAAAGGTTGTTCAGTTTATGTTGTCAGTGTTTGACTTATTTTTTGGGGAAAATTCTTGACTTAAGGTTAAAATTTTCTAGACGCCTTGGATTATTCTGTCTTTGCTAGTGCCAAAATGTGTCATTCATTGTCGTGACAACCAATAAGCAATAGGCTGTCGGACACACACCTCGTGAAACTGGATTCTCCTCTAAATACTCTCCAACTTCCCTACTTTGCTCTTCAGTGAAAACCCTGTATTGTACAAAAACATAATTTCTTAAACATTGCTAAGAGGAAAATTTCAGAAGTCTGCCTTGCATGTAGATATCAGAGCTTTTGAGATATACCGTTATACGCTAGTTAGGTTCAACACACATCATATGCCATGCACGAAGCTTGTGGATATCATGTAAAACGTAATCAGGATCCAGTTGCACATTGGACCCTTGCATGAATTCCTGCATTGCTCCAACTTGTCATTTAACATCAAGATAGCAAGACAAGACAGGAGGCAGGCAGGTAGGAGTATCTTAGACAGCAGACGTACTGGATGAGGATGTCTGATCTAATAGAGCAGTGGCATCTAACCTTGAGGAGGTCGCTGTGATCTTGTTGCTCTCTCAGGACCGCATGCTAAATACCGGGACTAATCGGCCCTAATCAGTTGTCTTAGCGTGTGTTGGGTCTGCGGTCCTGTTAATTGCTACAGTGGGCCTGATAATAATGCCAACTGACAAGATTAGTGTGTTCTTTTCCCTGACACTATCAGGTTGTGTTTACATCATGAAGAGTCTGTGTTTGTTGTTTTGCAGTGTATTCTGCTCTCTCTTGATTTCCAATGTATGATCTCTTTGTCCTGTAGCAATAATCCGTATATTTACATGTGCACATGTACACTGTATATTTACAGTGTACACATACATGTACATGTTCTACACAAGAAACAAGTTGCACTCATGAGCAACAAGTTTATGCTCATTAACATGTACATGTACGTATTGCTATTCAATATGGCCGTTTCACAATAGTGCGCCACCAAGAGTTTGCAACGCACTGGCCAATCACAACGTGTGAAATCTGACAACGGAATGTGAGTTTGGAAAGGGTCGACAGATTTCGCACATTGTGATTGGCCAACGTGTTGCAAACTCTTGGTGGCACACTTGTGTGAATCACCCGTGCTATTTTTGTTTTCTTACAACATGTACGTACTTACTACATATACAGTGTACACTTAAAATGTGTCTAGCTTTCTTCAGTTATAATTGCCAATCTGAAAACATGAAGACACTAGTGCATACAGCACGTTGGGTTTTGTGTTAACAATTGAAAAAATGTCTTGAAAAGCTTTCACTCACTGTTATGAAGCCTGACGTAAATCATATGTGTTGTCTCTTTGCTATTGCAGATTGCATACAGAGATTGGCTGTGTGGGATAACCTTCGATTTCTATGATGAAGGTCGACTCATCAAGCCATGTTTGGAATTTTGTTACGAAACCTCAAGGAAATGCCCCTTTTTGTTACCATCTGTACAGTACTGTGGTAGACAGAGCTACTTCTGTCCACGTAAGTTTATATTGTTCAATTTTAGACAGTTCCGCAATGACAAGTTTATGGCAGTCTTGGCTTAAGACAGGATTTGCATTGTTTTTGTCGCTATATGTGCCATACCAATACAGCGACAAGCAGAGCTCAACAGCAGTAGCAGTAGAGGGCGCCAATCCATAGGAGATGAATTGCACTGAGATCCAGTCTTGATGAGTTCGACAAGCCCATCAGAAACATTCTGAGTTTACCTCAGGTGCTGGAATTACTATGCATGACAGTGCATGCACGTCAACTCAGAACTGTTAGGAACCAGACTGGCACCTTAATGCATGGTTTTAATTCACCAAATATAATAGGGTATCAGGAGAAAGTTTTCCAAAGTATATAAAATCCAACATTTCAAAGGAATCAGAATATGCATTTTCTAAACTTATATTGTCCGATGGCATCTTGATGCCTTTTCTTCAAGGAGTCAGAGAATTAAGTGAACCTTACGCATACAGCAAACTACATGTACCAGTAGCTATTGCATATGTATGTGCAAGTCATTGACTGTGTGTGTAGTCCTAGAACTATCGGGTTCATCGTCACGTTGTGTGCCACAGCATTATGACGAACCACACAGTTCTAGGGGTACCGTATTGGCACGTTGAAAGACCCATCAGGAGCTTCCTTCATGCAGCGTTGTAAATCGGTGCACAACCCAAGGTATACTGACACTACAGGCCATTGGGTTGTAATGTTGTGAACATCAAGTGCGCTGGTGATATCAGGAACCACTCATTAGGCCATTTTTTGCAGATTTTGGGGGTTGATTACAAGTACATGTCTTATCGAAAAGGTGAGTCAAATGCCTTCACAAAGATGATTATGTACACACTCGGTGGGAACACACCGTACTGGTTCGTACATTGATGTAATAATTTCAACTGTCATGTGATGTGCATGTGATGCACATGTGATGTGCTTGTACTATTATTCATGGTCATTCGAGTGCTGAGGTGTGTTCAGAATTTATGTGGTAGGCCTGCTAAATTCACCAAGACTGAATTTCAGTACAGTTTGTCTCTTATGGACTGGCGCCTTCTACCATTACTGCTATTACACTGTGCTTGCCAGCGCATGTCACCCGCGTGGTGTACAGAAACAACGTTCTCAGGCCAAGACTAATTTTATGTGTATCACCTGCTCTGTTTTTGTGATCCATATCTGTAACCTGACAATCAGAAATGCTGTTGACTGATACAGCATACAGGTTTCAGCTTCTGTCTGACTTCTTACCATTTCCTGTCTGTTGGCTTGTTTTTCTGTCATTCTTTCCATTTACCAATTAACATCAACTTGTAGTTAACCAGCTATTTGTCATGTTATCCAGCACAGCAATTTAACACTTTTGTTCTTTGATTGAAAAGTGTGTATTTTTCTTCTTCTTTTGTCTTTGTGCTGCAGGGCACCGGGATCTTTATGAAAATTCTACATATGCCCATGAAGCACCATGTTTTCAGTGTGACTACTCTCATAAATCAGCATTGGGCAAGTGCACAGTAAATGTGACCAATAGAACGGATCCATCAGGCACAGTCAGCTTATACAAAGCATCTGTAACAAGGCTCGTGATTGGACAGTTAGCCATGCTGTGGATTTGGAGAACATTTGTGTGACCTACCACTGGAATTTGCATAGGAGGAGGAAGCCCCACCCCCTTTTGGGGAGGCACTAGGGAACTTCTTTTGATTGACATGTCCGAGTTGGATGTTGCATCCGGGAGCCATCCTCGTCAGCTTTCCATCACATGCAGGTAGCGTTACCATGGCAACCTGTTCATCTGTTGGAATTGGAATCATCAAATGCTTGCTTTGTCTTTGGTTGTTTTTTACATTGCCTGCAGTATTTGTTACATTTATCAACATAATTTCTTAGTTTGTAAATGAGCATACAACTCAAGGACTGGTCCAAGGGTGACAGTTGTGGGTTTCTTAAATGCCCATTTTGGCAGTAGAAATGGATGTGCTCTTCGTGACCCATTCCGGTCAAATTTACAGTCTCTTGTAAGCAAGATAAACCACTCACTCCAAAATAATTTTTGAAGCAGAAAAGTTGTGAACCACTTTGAAAGTGAAATGTATTCAATTTGGTGTGGGTAGTCCATTGAAGAATTGGCCCTCTGTGTTTTAAAGACTGTCCAGAAAAAAAAGGATTCTAGCTTACATACGTGTATAACTCTACATCTTCATCCAGCCAAGTGTATCTGTCATCCTTTTATTCTAGACATACACACAGATAGTTGAAAGTGGCAATTTTCTGAACCAGTACAGTTTCTCCTATATACAGTATTCCTGCTGCATCATCCTGAAGTTTCTGTGATGCTAAGGCCCATGAATGTATCAATCAACCGGTCTTAATGCACAAATAAGAATCTCTGTACTCTGCCATTAATGTGATGTTTGGAGCTAAGATTTCCACATCTCACTGTAATCCCTTCCTACTGTACATGTACTTGATTATTTGCACACCATCAACTTACGGCCCCCCATGAGTTGTGTGCATACTGAACTCTTGTATTTCAATAAGCTTTTTTAATATTAGGAGAATTGTCTGTGCATCCTGCCTGGCGTGTCTGTGGTCTGAGTTCAAAGATGCTTCATTATCATCTTAGCATGGTGCCCTAAAAAGTGGCTTGGCAGTGCTGGATTCCGTTTACACATTATTCCGAGAACTGTTTGTGGGAAACAGCAATACAGTCCAGGGCAAATGTTGTTTATCAAGATTTTACTTTACTGCTCTCATTATGATGCTGAAGGGAGTAAATCTTCACAAGTTGAAATTTGGTTCTTCTGTGAATGATGGAAAACATGGCCAGTGACGTATCCATCCCTTTTCACAAGTACATGTAGTAAGAAGAATACATGAAGGTTTTTTTTTCTAATTGAGGGGGTTTTATTTTCTTGGATCAGAGAAGTTCAGATACACTTTGACAGTACTGTTTATCTTGCTTACGTCCTTTGCTCCATTTTGTTCCAAATGTCCACAAACATCTTGTCTGTGATGGATGAATTCTTTTACTGAGGTTGATGGACCATTTTTGAAAAAGAGAGAATTATGTAACATGAAATGTAGGAATTTATTACAATAGGCATGATAGGTATGTTTCTTGTTGAACAGACTAACTAATTCTTGACTTTATTTAGGATAAATTGAGTAACTCTTGGCAATTTTTTACAACCAGTGGAAAGCTAAATTTGGATATGGCGCAAGAAGTGGAATGCTTGATACTGGAAAGTCACCTGCCAGTAATTAGAAGGGGGAATTTCAAGGGTAAATATGAACAGAAAGTTTAAGGACAATCACGCTAGACCTCATAAAAATATCTTGTCAATTTATCTTTACGATTAATATCCAGAATACAAAAATGGAAAATGAAATAACTCTTCCTGGAAGAATTCTCCTTTTAAAAACTTTTTGTCAATGGTAGAAACCAAAGAATTGCCAGGCATTTTATCGGATTTCATTTTGAGTTGTCACTTCTCATAAGGCAGGCTCCAAAGGGAATCTGAATGTACACTGGGGTTGTGTATGTACATGTGGATTACCACAGAGCCATAACTCCCACAATTCCTTGCAGGTATGTGACCTTTAGAATATCAGTCAACATTTATGGGTACACAGTGTCAGGAGAAAGCTAAATACACGTACCTAAATGATACAACCATAGTTGTCATAACCATTACTGAAGAAATAGGTCAAATGGTTTTTATTTATAAATTCAATCTATTTCTGATTGTTTTCAGTGTTGAGCTCATTGAGTGCATTTTTCGCTTTTATATGTTGATTTGTAATTAGTGAGTTGGTTTATTTTGTTTACATTTTGATGAGCATGTTCTCATTATTATTCTCAGCTTGTAGACCATGTTTGATGTATTTTTAAGAAAAAAGGATGTGAAATTATACTGTAAGTTAACGTAAAAACGTATCTGGTGAAATCTTTTGCTACAATTTTGTTTCTGTAAAACAGACGAGAGCGGTTGTTCAGTGGAGTGGTAACTGTGACATGAGTAAGGTATTTTGGCTGTTGCATACACGTTTCTTGTACACTCACAGATACATTACTATATAGAGGACTATATGGGAAGTATTCATAGATATATTATAATATTATTACACATGATAGTTGGCTATTCTAACTCAGGTGGGATAGCATGGTTGGGTTGGATTGGAGGCGGCAAATATCTAGCACAAATTAGATTCAGTCATCAACCGGAACTTTTTTTGATAATGCAGACATTTTATTGCTGGTTTAACTCTGCAATCATATTTTGCAGTCTGGGGAAAAAACCCTGAGATTTTTGTTTGTGTTTGCTTGCTTAGTTGTTTTGTCAGCCATGGTGAGATCCATTGGGAACTTGGTATTCATGACTCTTAGTGTGAACCTTGCATGACAGATGCACATACAGAAATTCTTATTGGGTGAACACAGACTTTTTCTCTGTTCCAAGATTTTGAATCAAAACTATCATATATACATGTAACTGTACTCACTTGGACTTTGGTTAGATTGATAATATTCATTGAGATTTTTATAGACATGTACATAAGATTTTCCTTTTTTGTTTCAGAAAATGCATTTTGAAACCAAGTACATGTTTTCAGACAATCTGAACATAGAACAGTGTCCCTTATCAACTAATCTGATTGGCTAATACTTGCCGACTCTAACCAATCACAGTCTCTGTTACAAACATGTAGACCCTGATACCTAGATGTACAGTATATTCCTCCTCCCTGTAAATGATGCTGGACACAGTAAAGAACAAAAAGTGTAAGTACATGTATTTGGTGTTGAGGCGGATTAGGTATCTAGTGCTGTGCACTAGATCACTGTGAGCTCTACTGGTACGTAGCAACCCACCCACTCCAAGCCTCCTCTGTTTTGTGTGAAATATTGTTGTTTGTACATATGTTATTATCCCCATCGTAGGCAAATTTGAATACCTTGTGAATTTGTATGCAGAACAAGGAATCAAATAACAAAATCTCATAAAATCAAGAATCATCAACTATTCAGGTATCACCACAGCTTGGAATGGCCATCTCTCCTTTGTAAAAGGGTTCTTTTACATGAAAAGGTAAAATGAAGGTTGGAAACATGGCACGGTTTTTCTCTCTTGTTTTTTTTAATTTGCGATTGATTGTACTTGTACATGTAGAGGTTCTTTTTGTAGAATAAATTATGATGAAGCCTTTGCAACCTGGATAATTTGAAACTGAAGAGGGCGCTATAATGTCAGTTCTGGTGTTGGCCAGTGGGTCATAGGTAAACATTTCAGGAACAAATTTCATTTTCATAATTAATGTTTCAAACAATGGAAGTATGGCACTCGGCTGCCTCATCAAATTTATGTTTGTGTATAACTTTTTTCAGGAAAATAAGACCTTGCTGATCAATATGTCCCCATATGGCATTTGTCCTTTTTGATTGACTAGATATTTGTAATGTACGTTTTATACTATGTAAGTTATATTTCTGAATGTAAAGTTGTTATTTTCGTTCCATTTAATTGTGTTTTGTTGCCAATTTTTCCGAAAAGAGCCTCTTTATCTCGCAGTGTAAATATTTTAGAAACAAATAGAGCTCATTTTAAAGTGTAAAAACACAAAAAAGAAACTCCAACAGAGTAGGTGTCATTTTAAAGTAAAAATCAAAAAAAGAATTAAAAAAAATTTAAAAGAGAAAAAAAAGAAGAAAAAAATTATTAAAAAAAGATGTCTTATAGCAGATTGGTGACTCTCTGTACCCCAATAGTGCCAGGTACACGTTCATTTATTTAGAATAAAACATTACTCAGATTTCACGTCTGGCAAATTGATAAAAAAAACACATTCAAAGGGGACTTCTCATTTCTTACATGTAGCACTTGAAGACTCATTCCTCAATGTACCTTGTTTTCATCATATCAAGATAATCATGTTGTCACCAAGAGAAATTTCTCAAATTCTAAATCATTTACTTGTTCACCTGTAATATTCATTATTTAAGATCATTTTTGTCGGCAATGCCAAAAGAAAATTGGTGCATTTGCAACTCTAAGAAAAAAGAATAGACAAAGCTTTAATAAGTAATAAGATGAACTTAATGTTACAGTATATTTATTGATATTTATTTATGGCGAAAGATCTAGACTATGTGCATTAAGATTGTATATCCAGTTGTTGGTTTATTTATCAGTACTTTATGGCTATGATAACTGTGTCTTCACATGACCTTTGACACAGGCAGTGGGATGATATTTGTACAAACCATAGTCATCCTGTTTATATCATGTAGTATTTGGGGACACTCACAGCTTGGCCAAGAGGAAGTACCCCTGATGTTACCATAGCCATAATTTTTTGGTATGACTGTGTTAGCCTTGTAGTCAATTTTTCTCTCACTGGTTTTTATGTTGTAGATGTATGTGACATTTATGGTTAGGATATGGACCGCTGCAATGGAGTGACTTTCTACTGACGGTTGACACCCTTATCAACTACCTCCATGCTTGTCTAACCCCTATTTTAAGTTCTCATGAACACAGAATATGAAGACCATTAGAATAGGCAGCAAGGAGGCTTAGGTCAAACATGTGACATGGACGAACGTGGATGACACATTATATCTCCTCAGAACTTCAAAGTTGCCACAAGGAATAGTGCCCTCTACTGGTGTCTACTGGAGGAATCTATAGCTGACAGCCATGATATTGCTCCTATCAGGGCTTTAGCTCAGGTTATAATCTGCAGTGAAGATGCTAAATGCAACAATTGACAAGTGAATTTGAAAAACCTTTGGAGTTAGACTTCAAAAAGGAATGTCATTGCTAAATCTACCTAACGTAACCTGAAAAGAAACATGTATGTTGCTTGGAGTGAGTAGAGATAAAAATGTTGACCAGGGTTTAACTGATTGATTTGATTTGGAATCTTGATCCCAGTGTTATTTTACACCTGGGTGTTAATGTTACACCTGGTTCCAAATCCTTACCTTACAGAGAAAGGTTTACCGGTGTCTGCATGTTCACCTTGGTTAGTAGTTTGACTAGAGCCAAAATGTAGACTTGTCGTCTCATTAACCAGTTCAAAATGTTGAATTCAGATAATCAAAAGCTTGTGTTAATTTCCGAGATCCACCTGTTGTACATTTAGAATAGGTGTATCCAGTTAGCTCAACTCACACCACATATCCACTTGTCAATTGTTGCAAATATTGTATCTTCATGCGGCGGACCAGTGTGTATTCATACTAAGGTTCCTTATGCCAGGAGTATTAATTCCTTTTTAAGTTCATTGAGTTCATTAAGTTAACAGTGCTTCACTTGGGACTTGTAATTGGAAAAAGCCACACTCTTAAAAGGAGACGACAAATCAAAAGTTTTTAAATGTTGACAAAAATCACGCAGCCATTTCTGTAGTGCAATCACGCCTTTTATAATAGTTGGCACACTGTGGACAATGTTTATTTCTGAGTTTACACTGCACGACCAGTCTGTAGTATTGTGAATATTGTATATGTATTTATAAAGTCAACAAGTGTGAATAACAGCACGTGTTACATGTTATTATCAGTTCATTTAAATAGCATATGTTGCATCTAGTTGGTATGCATCAAACAGATACTCTGACTGTACTGCTATAAGTTATTTGTAACTTAAGAACTTTGAGAGACTTGTATTTTTTTCTTTTGTTAATTTGTTGTTTTCCATGCAACATAAATTATCTTGAGTTGACTACTGACTTGATATCATTTGGTTTTTGACGTCTTCCTTGTTTAACCCCATTGGCTTGGACATGACCACGAGGATCTTGTGAATAAAACAAAGTTACTTAATATTCGACAGAACATCCAGTTTTCAGCTTCACTTGTTTCTTTGTTTATACTTCAAGTGCCTGTTTATGACAGCTGCATGCTGTCATTTTGTCAACTAAGTTGTCTTCTGTTATTGACCTTTTCACAAATAAATTCATAATTATGCGTGCATGCGCACAAATGGCCTTAGCGGCAAGGGCCGTTGAAAATGTACTGGGGTGTGATTTTGATCATTTTTCTCTCAGGTTTTCTGGCTTTGTTCATTTTTTTCTTCAGAAAATCCCATGCAATCATTTTTGCTATTAGTATCTAATCTTAGCGGGATTTTGAGTGCTCTGTAAAAAGATTTTACCATTGTGATTTTACCTGTCCACATGAGATTGCCGTATCTAAGTCAGTCTCCTGTCATGCTGTTTTATAGCAAAAACAATTTAATGGGAAAAAACTGAACAAAGCCAGAAAACCTGAGAGAAAATGATCAAAATCACACCCCTGTGCATTTTCAATGGACCTTGCTGCTAAGGCCATTTGTGCGCATGCGTGCATAATTATGAATTTATTTGTGAAAAGGTCAATAACAGAAGACAACTTAGTTGAAACTTGTATTGATACCACCTTTGCTAATGTAAAGAATTCAGTGGACCAATTATGTATTGTGTTCAGCTACATGTACTGCAGGTGTGTGGATGCCTCATCTAAACCTGCCCATGGAATGAGTGTTATGTGGTTGGTTAGATCTTTCCAAATAGTTTTCTTTTGTGTTTGGAGTGGTATATATAAGGAGTAGAAGGCCCAACTCAGTAGATTGCTAGTGGACAAATTGGAGAATGGTGGTGCGGCTGAAGTAAGGATGGCGAAGCTGATGACGGGAATGACTGGACGCTGCTGTAAGGATGGGACATCTACCCGTCAAGTTATTCAGCAATCTGACAAGCTAAACTACCCGACAATCGAACTAGCTGAAACCTTTTGACTGTTGAATGGAATGCTCACCACCACATACCTACTCACATCAATCAAGCGTGTACTACCATTTTTCTGAATCCGCCGAGACCAGGGCATTTGGTGCAGTACTCTTGAATCTTCTGTAAGTCACAAAATAGCTGTTTGCTTTTTCACTGTTCAGCTTCACCTGGGCTTTATTTTGGCTGCTATTCATTCAGTTTGTATCATCAAATCATGTGTTGTGAAGGTGGGTTTTGGAGTCTGAATTTCCGTTGGATAAATCTTGGTTTTCTGTATTTCTGTCTTCTAAACATGCAGAGTTTTGGCCTTGTGTTCAGTATGCTTTTGACTAAAGAAATTCACCCAACTTACCTTTGTTAATGACGGCAATACCATTCAGAAATGCAGTACATGTAAGACAAGCTGGAATTGTTACGTATAAGACTTATTTATTAAAATGCATTTCAAGAGACCAGTGCAAGAAATGAGGTAAGTGTGAAAATTACAGACGTTTAAGGTCAGTTTGGAAATTTATGCCAGACAGAAAATCCCATTTATTCATTTTTTGAACATGTTCAGTCATTGCATATGGATCAACTTCAATATGACAATGTAAATTTAAAAACCTCAAGGAGTCTAATTTCAATAATTAAGGCACCCAATGAAACTATGTACCTGACTTTTCACATACCTTCTATTTCCTTTAAAAACAATATCAAATGTTTGTTTTTTATGACCCTTCAAACTCAACTTGACCCAGTGAGCATTTGACATTAGATACCTTTCCAGAAAAAAAAAAGGCTCTCACAATTTCTTAGAATTCGTGGTATATTTCTGGTAAGTGAAATTCCAGCCTTCCAAATTTCATAACATGAATATGGGCGATACGCAATGCAATGTGCCACCAAGATGTTGTCATAGAGAGGCCTTTTCACAGTGCATTATGGGATAAATAGTTGACAAACTCTCATTCGATAACTATGCTGTACGGAGAAAACTTGAATTTTTTCCATGTTGTTTTTCGTATGTCAATCTTGGTTGAAAATTCGAAATTGCTTGATGTGAATGGGTGTTAGGTAGTCAAAATGACGGTTTTGTGAGGTGCAGGGAATGCCTCAATCAATCAAACATCCCCAAATTATGTACTAAGTACACTTAAAGCATGTCAACCTTGAAAAGTGGTCTGTCTGTGGCAAACTCTTGGTGGCGCTCTGTATTGTGAATTGCCCGCATTCATCCTAAAGAATGCTGTGCATGCTATACAGACTTGATGTTTTAGCTTAGCTCCAGTGGCTAGTTGCTGTTGCACTTAAAGCTTTCCCGTACACATGAAATTTAAGTTTAATATCAAATTCATAAAAAAATAAATTTTGTTCAAACAATGAGTGATGTGTTCTTTTAGAACAAAGCATGGTCAACTTCTTTGCCACAGATTTTTCTCTACTTACAACTTTTTTCTACAGCAAAAACATGGACTCAAAATCTTAATCATTTTGCTCAAAGAAACTTAGTTACAAATAAGAATATATAGAATTATACCAAGTTGTTTTATGGCATAAATAATTCAAACTTTGCGGCCGGCTTACAAAGAAAATATAGGTTTTGCCAATGATACCATTGCACGTGCATATTTGTATTTTAATACCCAACCAATTTTATTCAACTAAAAGGCACAGGTGTTATTTCATCTGAACAGATCAATGGAAACAAGTTAATTTCATTATTAACTTCCCTGGGATCATTAAAATCATGCATATGCTTATTAGATTCATAATGGTTAGGGTTAGATAAACATTTTGACTAACTCCTGGTACAATAATTAAACTTTTCACTAGACATGTGCTCATATCGGTAGGTATTTCTATGGAGTTTTAAACTGTAAACGTTTACAAAGTTTAAGTTTTAACTAACCAACAATTGTTAAACCAAAATAACAATAGATTCAAAAAGTACTGAGAGAGAAACAAACAAACAAACAAACAAACAAACCTTAAAAGTCTTGCAAATTCAATCCAAGCAATATAAAATTAACTGTCACATGTGTAGAGCCCCCTACCACATAAACATTCTGGCTTGATTTTGCTGACACATGAAACCGAGTTGCAATTTCAATCCAATGGGCAGTAAGCTCTGAAAGCAAGCAGGCCATCTGCTTTTTCCAGTTTAAGAGGAAGGCTGTGGTTGGCTGACATGAAAATAACTGAGCCTCTCTTCAGGGTCAGGGTTTTACCATTTCCAAACGATGGGTGTGATGCCTCGGCTTGGCCACTGATGGTAATAAATATGCTGGCACTGTCATAGGCTGTTACTTCATATGACTCTACTCCCTCTGCAACCTGGAAATTGAGAATTAAAAGTTAAGCCACATGTTTCTAGAATAAAACGAGTTAAAAAAGGAGCAAAGTGTTGTGAAATTCAATACCTTTATCCTTGCCACAGCAAAATCAGGCACTGGTGGGTCATAAATGGTGACACAAGCATCCCCTGGGTCAGTCACACTAGGGAAGAGTCTGTCTTGGGCTGGACTTGGTAGATATGTCAGCATCTTGCACAAGTTCTCTACGTCTTTGTACTTTGGGGTGAGACCAGCACGGACGACATTATCTGAGCATGCCATGCACTCCATGCAGTCTGAACAGATCAGGGAAACAGAATAACTACTTCAGATTGGTCAACCTGTGCAGGAGTTCACAACTGATTCAAGATGATGGCCAATGACATCACTGCACACTTCATAAATACGTATGAGATGTAACAAGACGACAGAATGCTGGAATGTGACTTTAAGGACCAGGCAACATGGCTTCTACGCGCTAAAAGATTGACCACTGGCATTATTTTGGTGCTGCCTGAGGTGTGATCACATGACTTACTTCCACTAAGGTATGCATGGGGTTCATTTGGCCCCAGGAACATGGCTTCCCCAGGCTGTAAGGTCATGTGATTGAGGAAGAAACTACAGAAACATCCAACATCTCCAGGAAACTGAGAATTCAGACGCAAGAGAAGTTCACGGTTCTTGCCAGTTTCTGAATCTATGGAAAGAAATGTAAACAAGAAAAGCGTGTGAATTTGCTTCATGAAGATTTCTGACATTGTCAGGAAAGAAAATGAAGTCATTACCTTCTGCTTGTAGTCGCTGGACAAGGAGAGCCAGTTGTTCTTTGACAAATTCAGGATCTCTTGTCATCAATTCCGTGAAGCAATCCTTCAAGACGTTCTTGGAATCACTGCCTCCTGCCTCTAGCTCTGCGGTGAATTTGTCAGCGTTGTCTTCCCCAACTACAGCTCGGAATTCTGGTACAGCTGTCCATAAAAAGGGGTAACAAATGAGACTCTAGCCATGGTCTACAGAAAGCCGCCGATCAAATAGCGCCCTCAAACATCTGTCCACTAAACCAACAGATTTCCTTACATCAAGAAACAAACAAGAACAATGGTCACTGGATAGCGTTTGATAATCTAACTGAGACTGGACGTATTTTCCCTTCAAAAATTATCAAACTGACTCACTCTTCAGGAAGTTATCAATTTCAATGAGTGGTCTGAAGCCATTTAGACCTTCAAATGGTGTCAAGGCAATAGCCATTTCTGGTTTGTGATTGTCATCTGGGTAATTCTCAGGATGTTCAGCATGAAGAGTCTCTGCTAAAGCCTGTCAGAATCAATGAGAGCTTACAATTAATTTCAAAAACTGGAACCTGGAACTTGCTCCACTGAATTTGTACCGTATATATTTAGTTAGCGTCAGAATCACTTAGCCACAGCCAGAAATAAACTACGCATGTCAATGGCAACTGGCTGCAGCAGCTTCCATAGGCTTATATTATCATCAGCCACAGCCAGAACAGTCAAAACCAGCCTTGGCACCAATATGTTACGCAGGATGTTCTGGGCTCAGGATCAAGTGGTTTTAGACATAACCAAGGATACGATATTGGCTTCTTGCATGAGTCTGAGGGCGCTGTATGTGTGGCTTACCCATGACAATGTAAGGGTGCATACATGTGGATAGCACATGTGTGAAGTCAAAACATGAATTCAGATGAATCTCAACCATTTCCGATTGCCTTCATAGTGGCACATGAGGACTGACTCACTGTTTGCATTGAAGGAATGAATATAAAAATGACTGTGGCACAATCTGGGCCTGAAGAGACCTAATACATCCAGCCTTACTCACCTTGTGTGGGTGTGCCTGGATAGACAATGACTTGTTAACAGATAACACCTTGAAGAGAAACGGCAGTTGGTCATTGAACTTTGACCTGACCTTCTCACCAAGGCAATCTGGTTGATCGGCGATCCAATCCTTCAATGATTTGGCCTCTTGACCTTCAACGATGGACGGACCTTTGACATGCGTACCCATCCAAAGCTGAAAGACAGAAAGAAACGCTGCCGGGATTGTTAAAAGTGCTTGAAGGAGGGGCAGGCCAAAAACAACTTACTGGCCAATCAATCAGAATGGATTTTGTCGACTCATTGGAAATCACATGACAAAGATGACTACATGCATTTCCCAAATTTTGGCCACAGCCTAATCTCCTAAGAAGAAAAAGCTATTGCTTCAGTGTGTATCTTCCTTATGGACAAACATTCTAAACTGTGCTATTATTTCAAAACCATTTTCATCTCGGATCTCTTTATTTTGTTAACTTGCTTTTAACAAACCTCTGCATATGGCTCATCTTCTTTCAGTTGGAAGGAAGGGTCACATGCCTGGGTCAAGGTTGCAACCTCACTGTCCTTACCAATGCGACCCCAGGCATATTGCTGCACTGCACACTTCAGTGCAACAGCTGGGAAAAAAAGGATTGGATAGAAAAATAATTACATGATTTCTCGGTGAAACAAAAAAGGACTATTCTCCTTGCAGTTTTACTTTCTCATGAAAATGACAATGATGAAACAACAGCATCAAGATCATTGGATGATGTAGATAGCATTGAACGACTGAAATTTGATGATGGGTACATGATGATCAAATTCTGGTGATATATCAGTACTCACCAACTGGTGTCTGTGTGACGGTCACTGGTGACTCGTCATCCACCATGACCTCCTCTGCACCGCCTTCTTGTGGTGGAGCTTTGTTAACTTTCTCATCAGGAAGTGCTGCAGGTGTAGATACTCCTTGATCTTTGACCTCAGATTCAGCGGCAGGTGGCGAGGCAGGTGACCCAGCTGCTTGTGGTGTGGATGAGGAGTCTCCTTTAGCTGGTGGAGGCTGCTTCTTTTTAGACACTAGACTGCCCATTTCAGTCCTAACGTTTGATCGACTGGCCTTTTTATCAAAACATATTTAACCCAAACCATGATTATACCACAGATCTTCCATTCTTCATGGTCTTACTACTCACTTTATTCCCTCTTGTTTCTCTAGCAGTGTCTGGTCAGCTTAACTAGAACAACACTAAGAACCAATTCTTTTCCAATAAGCCAATTTCCCGTTCCGTCGCTATGTTAATTTTAGCACCCCCCGCACAAGTAAAACGTAAGTGAACAAAGCTGGAGGGGACCAAGTTGTCTACAGCAATAACAGTTGCGAGCATCCATTCGCCAAACGTTATGTAACGTTGTTGTCCCCTCTGTTAAATCTTCTGAGCATGCGCACATGAAACGTGAAAAGGTTTATTAAGGAAATAGCTCCATACCCACATGTCACTTGAAACTCTGCACAAACCTACCCCAGAACTGTGGGGTCCGACGTCCCCCGGCCCCACTCCCATGAACGAACAAACGTGGGAGTGGGGCGGATGTTGGGGGTACACAAACCCTACGCTAAAGTATGTGTATGCGACTGGTCTAAAAATTCCAAGCGTTTTCTAAATCTAGGATAGGCTAATAATTCATGTTGGCCTAAGTAATGTACGCCTAACTAAGTAGAACCGTAAATGCTTCAATCACGTCTTGTCAATGTTTTCCCTGCTAAATCATTTGTAAATTCAATTTTTAACAGCATGCTATCACTTTCTGATAAATGACAGAAACTGTTGCGTGTTGGGGAAAAAATGTGGTGTCTTTGTATGGAATTCTTTAAGTTAAGTTTTTTTTTTACTTCCGCGTTTATTCTTCGAAAAGATTGATGATCATACAGCCAGCTGCATGGCCACCACAACCAGCGACCCATGATACCACTCACCATGCTCACTCAGTGCTCAGTCACAATAATGAACCCTAGTTTTACGTACCGATGGTCAAACGTTACGGATGTAAATATCAATCTTTACATCTCCATTCCCCCTCTGGTCAATATTCTAAAATTACTAGTATTGTTTCCTTCCCAATCACTGGATCTCCAACGTGCACCCAAGTCTAAGCGCAGCATGCACTGGCGAAGACAAACTTAGTTGTTAGTCTGGTAACTGGATGTAAATCCGGCAGCCAGCAGACCCCAAAGCACATACTGTTTCGCTTTAAACATTGGGTACCATCCAGTTTGTGCCTTAAAGGTGCAACCACGAGCCATGCATATTGAAGCTCGCTGCTTTAAGCTTCAAAGTTGCAAGAGCAGTCAATTTCGGAAAAGTTGATAACAGACATGCATACAGAATAACACGTCTTCAGAATTACTTGAGGCCAGTAATAGCGCCATATGGGCGACTCATTTTAGTGCTGAATTTGGTTGTTGGCCCTCTAGTGTCATAGTCCAGTATCTGCATAGGGCTAATGTTCCCTTTTCTGCACCAAACTTCAGTAGCCTGACATAGACCGATTTCATCGCAACAGTGGATACACAAAATCTGCATCAGGAAAATTGGTATCTGTGCATTACCAAAACTCATAATGATTATCTAACTTTAATAAGGAAACACAAAAATATTGAGACTACCTTTGGAGGAGGTCGTGTCCACTTGGATGATGAATTACCCATTTTACTTCAGTGGTTTTGCCGTTCTTTGTCACGTTCGAACAGATTCTAAAGATTTCCAAGTTGTCCTTCGGCTGGGCAATGATACAGACATTACCTACCCTGCCCTCTTGACTTCTCACTAGTTTCAGTCCTATGTGTGAGGCATGTTATCATTTGTTGATTGATGAAATTTGAACTTACATTAAAGTCCAACTAACAATTCAAACAATGAGTTACTGTTCTGGTTTGCTCCTCCCTTTATCACTTTAACTTTTGATACTCTTAGATCCAGCTGTTGAGTTAAAAATGAGAAAATGCAAACACTGGACAAGGTCCTTGCAAAGTGTTAAAGTGTTTAATTACTTTGCAACCATATACATTTACAATGAGACAAAACAATTCAACAGTTGTTTTTTTCCTGTTTTTTTTTTAGTAAATTCCCTGTTTATTTCAAGAATGTCCCAATTTTTAGTAACAGGTTGCCAGTCTTGAAATATACAATACCTGAATTCTCCCAACAAAAACACTCCATTTTAAAAATCAATAATGTGTTGCTAACCATTTTCTTATAAGGTGAGAAAACTGCAAAGTGAGTCATACTAGTTTGGGTGGTAACTTTTTTTTACAAATACACTAACTGTAATGAGTTTTATTGAAAACAATGGCTAGAAATGTAACGAAAATCCATCATGATATCAGATGTGTCTGGAACAAAAAATTCCCTTCAACAGGGCAGAAACTAACATCGTGTCCTTTTTGTGCATGTTATTAGCAAAATATAATACTGCGGACAATAAACTTTGTTTTTATGTCTTTTTACCCTCTGTCCGAATATTTTCTACGACCAGACACAATTGCAAAGCTTCAGGCACAGAGCTGCGGATTCAGAGATTTTGCACAAATTGGACTTCGTAACTCTTTTTAATCAGTTTTTACAAAAACTACTGGGTGGACTAATAAAGAAATCTGGAAATTTATTGAAAACTGGCAAAAAATTAATTTGAATGGCACATAGCATGTTGTTTTAATTGTGAATAAAGTAACTATCAGTCTTAATGTTTACACAATGCATATTTTATAACAACTGGAAGTTCAAAGTCCCTCTGTTCTTCAAAATAAAACTAGAAAACAACCAGGAGGGAAGATTATTTCACATTGCTCTCAATAAATAAAAAATCCCCTCTGAATTCATTCAACGTGGTAGGCCAACTGGAACTAAACATTGCTTACTAGAAAACTAAGCTTCTTTGAAAATTGATAACACAAATGAAGTGACGTTTTAAAGGAAGTAACTCAAAACTTGACAGTTTCTGTCCTATTCAGAATGTTCCTTTCAGAAACGAGACGTTCTTTCAAGAATCACTTGTTAAAGGGAGAAGGATATACGTAAGGGAAACACTGTAGGCAGAGCAGACGGTCCTAAGTATAGGTGATCGATGAATTTTGAGATACACCTTCGGATCCCTATCATAAGAAATGTATTAGTCAATTCGGTAACACTCATGAGTCCATTAGGTAACACCCGTGGGCCCACTGGGTAACACTCATGAGTCCATTAGGTAACACTTGGTATGAAACGCTGAACTGTGACTGTTTCTATAGAGGCAACTGGAAGTCAACATGAACTGATACATCCTTGGCTAGAGCAACAATTGTAGACAGCCTCACAACCTGCAGAAAGAGAGACAGAAAAGTTAGAAAAGAAAGCTTACAAAAGAGAACTCAACATGTGAATTAATTTATTAAAGAAAAGTGTGCAGATTTTTAAATTAGAAATATAGGGAAGGTTGCCACTTTATTCAATTTCATTTGAACAAAGAAATTTCTAGAACATTTCAACATCAGTTGACGAGCCTTCTAGCTAGTGGTGATTGCCTCTGTTATCATGAAACCAATACATGTCATTAGGACGGGGATACAGGGAGCTTGTATAGCATTGTGTGGTAGTCTAGAGGTTGTATAGTTGAAGCGAGCTTCAGTTAATTAACGTTAGATCCAACAGTAAACTCTAATGGCCAACCATTTTGGCAGCTTCATCCAAGTCATCACAGGCCAAGATTCTCATTCCAGAAGCAGCTATCAGAGCCTTGGCATCATCAACCCTGGAGCCTGAAACACGACCAAAAGAGGCAACTTAAGTTTCAATGTTTGGCCTTTTACATCTATGAAATGGAATGCTGTACATACAGAAGACAGCCTATTAATTTCAGTAGGCCTCATGGAAGCAGGATGCTTTACAATGCCCCAACTTGATTCCACAACGTTCAGGGAGGGTACTGTGTCTTACCTTGTAACCTTACAACAATAGGCAGCTTCAGATTCAGATCTTGAGCAGCTGATATGATACCTTTAGCAATGATGTCACAGTGCATGATACCGCCAAAGATATTGACCAAGATAGCTCTCACCTGCAATCAATCAACCAATTAATCAATCTATCTATTGATCTATCAATCAAACAGTACTGATTGATAATTGGAAGGGTAATTAGATATCAAGGGACTGCAACTGCATAGTGTCTGCATACCTTGCTGTCTGATGTAATGAGTTTAAACGCCTCCTTGACCTGCTCAGCCGTAGCTCCACCTCCAACATCCAGAAAGTTTGCTGGAGATCCTCCATGGAGCTGGATGATATCCATAGTAGACATTGCTAGACCAGCGCCATTCACTAAATCAGACAGGGTGGATAATGCAGTGATTAGGTCAGTCATTTTCATTCCTGCTATCTTGCTTGGAAGAAAAAACAGTCATGCGAATCATGTAGAAAGTGTCAACCGTGTACAGTCCTCATACATATTTCAGATAAACATTAATTTGGAAATTTTATAAACATCTCGGCAATATCGATTCCCATTAATGCATTTAGTTTTAAGTAGAAAATAGATCTCCCTTATGCTCGATGTACTTTAAGACCATAAGACCATGTTGTAAGATTGTAGACTGGTAGAATGTCCCAATACAGCTGTGCAGGACTATTTCTCCTTACCAAGGCATCCAATATCTCCTTCTAGCCCAATGTAGTTCAGGTTGTGTTGAGCAGCAATCACCTCTCGCTCATCTTCCTGAGACCAGTCCTTCAGGTCATGAATCGACTTCTGCCTGTATGCTGCATTGTCGTCAAAGTTTATCTTTGCATCCATGCAAAGAACTGAGGTCAAAGATGAAAGATCAAAGTGTCATTCAACAATATCTAGCGCCATTGGCCATTTGAATGAACAAGAGAATGAGTCACAGGCAAAGGTCAAATGGTTTCTTACCTGAGCCCTGGTTGTCTTCTGTCAGTGGGTTAATCTCTAACATTGTGCAGTCGTTCACAATGAAAAAATTGTACAGCCTCTTGAACGTGTCTGCAGCCTGGACAAAGAGGAACGAAATTCTGAAAGGAGGAAATCTAGCTAACAACATAGAACTCCTAACATTTCTAAGGCACCTGACACTCTTGGCAAACTCCAAAATTTTGTCACTCTTTTACCTGCTTTTGACAATTTTCTGAGAATCCCATTTGCTTTGCCATATTGTCTGCCTCCTCATCCTGGATTCCTGCAAATTAAATCGACCAAGAATTTTACATCTTCATTGTATCCAACAGAAAAAGTTGTTAGCATACAACTACAAGTTAACACTTTTTTAAATTTTAAGTTTTGCTGAATGTGGGACACACGGTTAGCCTACCATTCATGATATCAACAGGTATTTTGATAATTGCACTAGGGTCCTCTGCTGCTACATCTTCGATGTTCACTCCCCCTTGAGAACTACCAATCAACACTGGCCCCTGGTGGGAGTAACAATACAACACAAACTAAGCGTTCTCTCATGAACAAGCAGGTCTCCCAACTGTTAGGATAATATTTTTCATTTGTACAATTAAGTGTGGGAAGTCACGAGAGGGCCCTGTGGCCAGAGCCATGTTGCTTCCAAATTCATTCAAGTCTTACCATGAATGCTCTTTCCATTGTAATAGCGAAGTAATACTCCCTCCTTGAGTACAACCGTTCACAGACTAAGACAGCACTACACAGTCTTCCAGCCTGTCCTGTCTGCTTTGTGATGAGCTTCCGACCAAGCATCTGCTTAGCAAGGTCTTTGACTTCCTCTGGTCTGTGGATATCAAGTCAGTAAGTTCATAATTCAATCACAAACTTCTACATCTGGAGCAATGTTTTCAAAGCATCATTATGAGAAATAAGTCTTTAAAGAAAGATTATGCTTTGACTGAAAACTCGAGATCCTCAAAACTTCTATACTTTGTAGTTGTATTGTCACAATGCTGCCATTAAAGGGAAGTTACATTTCTACAGTACTTCTTCTTGACCTGTGACTTATCTAGAGACTTTACTTCTAGCCCAATAAGTGTAACTTTTTTGCCCTCTGACCTATCTGGTGACCTGAATACTGTTTATCTTACGAGTATGCTAATTTGACTCCGCCTTTCAGGCCACTCTCAAAGGTTCCTTTGCCTCTACCTCCAGCCAACACTTGCGCTTTGATGACAACATCCTCACTACCTGCATTTGATAAAACAATCAATTATATGATAAGTCCTGGCAGGGTACCCTAACATCCTAGGGCATTAGGGTTAAAAAAATCAAGCAGAATAATTACATCACTATCAAGCAGAATAACTATATTTCTATTAGAAAAATGTCAATCAATGAAAAGTATGACAAGTAACAGTCTGAAAGTAAACTTATAACAATGAGCAAAAACATGTTCACTTTGGCAGTGTTATTCAGTCTATACCTGTATCACATTTGTAAGTTTGGGATTTGGTACTTCAAAAAACTCTAAAGAGAATCTGTGTTAAGGTAGGGATGACCAGATAAAGACTGTACTTTCAATGTGGTTCACTTTTTGTTCACTGAACTAAATAGAACCTTTTCACTACCCATGGATAGAATTTAAGAGCAATAACGTCAAACTCACCCAGACTTTTGGCTTTCTCATAGGCCTCCTGAGGTGTCTTAGCAACTTCCGCCTTAGGCAAGTTGACCCCTGCTTCCCTCAAGAGGTCATAGCTCATGTACTCATGAATTGATAGATCGCGCCTTGGTTGTGACGAAATGACAGCATTTACACCTTGGATTCTCTGTTAGAGATGTAAGAAATAGATTGATCTCAGATTTAATTTTTTTCAACATGTGCAGTTTTAACACTTAAAGTTTGTTGTGAGCCATTAACAAACACTGACATGCTTGGCAAATATTTACCGGTTTTACAATTTTTTACTTTTAATAGCCTAGACCTACTCAGATACTCTGGTAGGCCCTACATATAGGCTACTATGGACTACTGACTGCTTTTCAAACTTAGTATGGTCAACCAAAAACAGGCCTACCTCAGCCTAATTATTTGAACAAATGCCGTGGCTGTTGTTATGGCAGCCATAACGCATCTCCCATTTTCTATCATTACGGCACTGCAACTACGCAAGTGCGCCAACTTAAGCGCAGATTTAGGACTTCATTTCCCTTTAAAAAAAAATTCTCCAAAACCTCCGATGAGAAAAGAAAAAGATTCCTGCTTAGGCCTATACAATTAGAAACCAACATAAAAAACAATTATGGTATAAAACATGTGTATAAAACATGAAATGTTGGCGAAAATATAAAGGGGTCCAAGCGAGGATTTGAACTCACACACCTTGACCACTTGGCCACAAACATTCAGCGATTCAGGTAATTTTAAAATATATAAACTGTCGTGATGATCAGCTATGTTACTGCACTTGCACAGTTCAGTGCCGTAACGATAGAAAATGGGAGATGTATTACGGTTGATGTAACGATAGTCACTTCGTTGAATAAATACATGAATACACTGATTCAGTGTAGGCTGCCAAATTAGGCACTTTTTTATTGTTAGGCCATAGGCCTCCAAATGCTAGGCCTACTACAACAAACTTAGCAGCCTAACATGCCTACAGTAGGCCTACATGCAAATTAAAGTAGCACTCCCCAGGTTCTAAGCGTCTATGCTCAAAATAATCCAGACCAGAACCCATCCAAACGTGGTTGGCCCCGCGGCAGCTTATTTACATTTAACTGTATTCCGCACGAGTCTTGGCCATACAACACAGTAGGCTAACTTTACATGCAGCGGATAGTGCACAGACTAAAGACAGAGCCTGAGATAAAAGTAAGAAGTTAATAAACACTAGGCAGGGCCCAGTAACATGAAGACAGACAGAGACAGGCTGGCGGCGGCGATTGACTAAAAATATGCCACGATGACCTAGACAGCTGCCATAACTTACGTGCATTTTATAATAATCATTCACAAAAATATCAAGCGCAATCACTGCTTTAACTGTGACGAATCATACCTTGCAAATATTACTAAATCCGTTACTTTTGGCGAAGAAGTGTCGACCGTAGCGACTCAAAGACAACGCCATCTTGCCAATCCAGAAATGTTGAACAGCGCCCTCTTTTGGTAGTGTTTCAATTTTGAATTTTCTTCTTTTTTTACGTAGTTGAGGCCTAAAAATGACAGGAAATACAAAATCCCCCGAAATTTGTATTAAAAAGTTTGCCAATTGCCTCTTGAGTACTTTTTTCCTTTTGGACAGTTTTGTTTTCTTTGTGAAAAAAACCTAAAAATCATTGCTGTAGGCATTCCCATAATTCATAGTCACGCATTTTGTCCGCAGCTTCCGGTTGCCAAAATACAAATAAATTTTTTCTTGATAATGCCAGCTGTCGAAAGAATCTAACAACATTCCTTTGCAGAATTGTGTGAAGTAGTTTCCTACATGTCGCTCGTACAGTTCAGGTAATTCTGCAAAATCAGATTTGAAGTTTTCCTTGGAATTCAGGGATAAACACGATTTTTTTCTTGTAGGCCTAGCTTCATTTTTATTCATACTGCCCAGTTTCCGGACGATTGTTTTGTCTATTGTACATGTAACTTTGTTAACTTTTTTTAGGGTGACTTCATAGATATATATAGTTATGGTAGCAATACCTACCGATCCTGCTGATACAGTGATAGGCCTACTTGTAAACAAAGCCTATGAGGAATTTTTGATACGATATTTAGCAATATTTAAAAAAGTGTCCTCGCTCAGTCAGAAGTCAAATTTAGTAGGCATGGTGGTAGGCCCATTGAAAATATCGAGGTAGGCCTAGGCCTATTCAGTAAAGCAAGTTCAACCTTTACTGACCAGTCTTATTGGGTTTGTACATTGGGTATCTAGTGGCGTCTGCATATGGAATTCTTTCCATCGCCTTTCATTTGCCCGTTCTTTTCACTTTGCCGTTGTTGAAGATTCATGTTGTTTCAACCAAGTCAAATCGAAGGTTTCATACAGCATTGACTGAGACTACTTACATGTAGGCCTACTAGCCTAACAAGTGATTGGCCTAGCACAACATAATTGTAATGATCATGCTGACTGACTGATGTTCAGCACACATGACGTAGGCCTGTGTGATAAGATGTGTTTTTATTTCATTTCTTTTGGGGAATACATGTAGAATCCAAAAGAACTATGAAGATTCATACAAGTCAGGTTACCGTTCTGTCACAAATGTGCCTCCCCCCCAAAAAACCCACATACACTTGTTGCCCATTAAAACGTCAGTCATTATTCCCTGTCTTTTCTTGTTATTCACTTTTCAATAATACAAGTAATAATGCGACACAGGTGGAACCCCAATTTTTAAGAAGTGAGAAATCAGACATACATGTAGTAAGACAATTTGGAATCAGCATTTTGCTGATATATATGTATTTGGTATTGTCTTGAGGATGGTATGCAGGTTAGATGGAATACAAGAGGAAATAATCAAATACAAGAGGAAAGTTAAAAGAGGAAATGATCAACACCTGAGGCAGTTTGGTTTGGTCTCTCCAGACCTACATATGTTCAGGTACATACTGTACATGAAAGCCCAAATCACCCAAAAGCAATGTTATATTAACCCTTACCCAAATGTCATATTGAAATTGGAGAATTGAGGACTGTTCATTCTAGCTTTTAAATTACAAAAATACAGGCCCATAGATACGCATCATGATAGCAAAGATATTTACTGTTAGAATCAATGTTTCTTGATTTTTTTCTTTTTCACAGGAAGCAGCATTGAAATTTTTTGAAAAAGTATAGGCATCCTCAGGTCAACAATGACCTTGAAAGTCAAAGAGTCAGCCATGCTCATCCAGAAGAATACCATCAACAAATGCACTGATCCATTAGATGCAAATAGCATTTGAGAAAGTTGGAACATCCAACATGTCTTCATCCCCCCGCCCAGTTCTTAAGCTGAAGGTTGATGAACTCTTTCTGAGGTGGCTTAGTGATGCTGACATTCGGGACAGTCTTAATGAGAACCTGAAATTGATCTCTCGAGGAGAGAACATCAACACCAACAATAACACTTCATTCCAATATCACTCTGGAGGAGGGAGTCCCGCCTCTCCGTTGCTAAGGATTGGGTCTCCATCTACTCCTCCATGTTCACCCCCGCCTCCTTTGACAGCATCACCAAGCCCAAGGAGTCCAAGGAGAAAGAGTAGCTTGTCTAGATTGTCAAACTCACTATCGAGGAGTCAAGCTGCTAAGGTGAGTTCATTTATATTCAGATCGTTTGTGTGTTCTTTTTATGTCCAGTACTAGATTTTGATTACTGGTGTGTGACTTTTCTTCAGTTTTGCTATGTTTACTAAGGCCTTTTCACACTTCAGCCTCTCAGGTTGAACTCAACCCTGGGCGAGTCCATGGCCGCCCTGGGTTGAAAATTGGATTTTTCAACCCTGTATTCAACCCAGCATTGTTTCGCACTTGCTTCATGTGAATTAGGCTTATCGAAGTGAGTTCAATCCAGAAATTAGCTGCACAAATAATTTTCAACCTGGGTTGAAAATCTCAACCCTGGTCCCAGGGTTGAAATTTGTCAAGTGTGAATCACTGCCCGTTTTCAACCCTGCGTCAACCCTGAGTTTTGTCTAGTGTGAAAAGGCCCCTTGTCTGTCTTCTGTGTCATAATTGTTGTCATTGCCATTGTCACTTTTAACCACTGTCCAGTCAAGACAGTTGTGACTGATGTACATGTAATGACTTTACTTGCAATAGCACCAGCCAATGTAGAAAATTAAAATTTATTTGCTGTGCACAAATTTCCCTTTTTTAGCACTAACCATCTGTGTGAAAAATGTTTGAAGGACAGGAGCATTTAAACAAAATTCAGCACGGAACAGAATTGCAATATTTAGATGGATCAGACCAATCCAGGCCAGACATTATTTTCACTGGAGTCCCTAGAGATATTGCTGTCTGCACAGTTGCTGGATTTCAGTGAATTCTAGAGTGTACGATAAAAATTTCCCAATAACCCCTAGTTTTGATAATTACATGTAAACAATGTTTTAATAAATTGTGTGGATTTAACTTTGTCAAATTGTACCAGCATGTACAGTATGTAGCTGTAGAAAGTTAACCTTTTAGACTGCAGGTTTAAAAATCCTATCTGATGCACCCTCAAGAAAATAGAACAAAAGAAATTTATGCGCGTACATGTACATGTACCCTCTAAAACGTTACTATTTTGATGATGTATTTTGTACATGTAGCTCATGTTCATGTACATAAGACATGTATAAATTGCTTCTAGCTTCAGTACATCCAATGACATAATCAAAGACACAAATTAAATGTCATTGAAAACACAGTAGCATTTCGGAGGTGTCACATACTCAACATGCCTTTGAGGAGAACTTGATACTGAGGTCATGGGGTTGATGCCCTTTAGGCTTTCCTCTTGCATACCAGTATTTATCATGCATTGTAAAGACTTAATAAGCTGGGAGTGTGAATGAAGGATATGCAATATGTTTGCTGTGTACACCATTCATGAGTGAGAATGTACATGCATATTGGTTATGTGTCGTGTATGATTGGAATCCTGAGTGATTCGTGATTTATTGTATAATTTTAGCCATCAATGTTACTCATTCGCATTATTTCCTGGTATTTATACATTTGTTTGAATATATCGGAGCTGGTACTTGATTTCTGCATTTCCCCTGCTGAGGCAAATCTGAAAATCCTCTTGTGTTTGGCATGTAAAAGGATTTGCAAGTTCTTGTTTTTATTTGTTTTAAAATAAGTTGACTTAAATAGTAGCTATTGAATAATAATACTACCGACATTGTATATAACTTTCAGTCTCAAAACGTTTTCCAGAAATGTGTGATGTTACCCAAATAATGTACCAGGCACATTCCAGCTGTTGTTGATAAGAAAACAAAGTGATCAGATGACTACATCACTTGGAATTCATGGAATGAAATCCAAATTGAATTCCAAAAGTGTTAATCTATCAGTTATAGGTGAAATGAAATATTTGTTGGCATGTATGTCTCAGGTAGCATTTTGTTGACAGTTTGACGTTATTCCTTTTTTTTAAATTAAACATTTTTCTCTCCAGTCTGTAAAGGTTTATTGTAAAATGTTTGAAGGGAGGAATTTCATAAATGATTGGGACAAAAATTGTTTTCTTTTTGTGTTTCATCAGTTATTTAAAAAAAAAAGGAAGTCACAACAAGTCTTTTCGGTAAAACACTACTGGGTAAACAAAGTTTTTTTGTTTATTGTCCTGATCAGTTTGCCTCCTAACAATCTGAAACAAAAATGGATTCATTCACTGGACTTACATGTACATGTATGGTACTTCTATCAGAAAAACCATTGTCCATGCACATGTATCACTTTCTATTGTTGGCAGATTCTGCAGTTGGCTATTTATTTACTCTTACTGTAGACTGTGTTGGGCTAGTTGTAAAAAACTTCACAGTAATAGATTTGCATTTTTGGAGCATGTGCAAATCAATACAAGAATGTGTGGAATGCTGACCGCCAAGTTCACCAGAATCCCCTCCTGATGCTATTTTTAGTTGGAGGTTTTTCTAAGATTGATGCCCAAAGGTTGGTCCCTGTGACCTGCATACAGAAGAACTACTGGTGTCTGTATGATCCATGAAATATGATGTATTGATGCTGAGGCAGACCTAATGCTCTCAGAGCCTGAACTGTGAGATGTGAGCAGACAGACTTTAATAATCAACCGATAGTGTGCCGTGTGTATTGAATGTCTTTCCGAGTTATCAAGACTTCTGTAACCCTGCTCTGTTGCACAGTGTGCGGCATACCAACTGGCTTGCCTTATATGGGGTTGTCCTTTTAGAGTGATCTACTTACCTCCAAGAATCCATGATAAATGATGAGGAGACGTGGAAGGGGGGATGCAGAAGAGGAACTGAACCGCATCACTGACTCTTTGAAGGATAGGTCATCTTTTCATCATTGGAGGTCATCGATGCTGAGGAGTTTGATGTTGATGTAGGACTAGTTGGATATTCAGTACTGCTGTGTGTAATTTGGAACAGGTTCATTGCCTAAGGCATTGTGTGTGTACCTTTTGAGTTATCTTATGATGTCAACGTAAACATAAGTCACTATACAAGCAAGTGTAGCTATGAGATATAATGCAGTGAGGAGTTTTGCTCCATCTCATACGGTACGGGACGCAGTGACTGAAGATGGTCGATGAAAAATATTGTCATCTTGACAATCCTCATTTGCATAATGGCAAAGCTTGCTTTGCGTAATCTTTGAGACGCAACAGTGAACTTTTGATAAAGGAGGCTTCCCCTCATGTGGCATTCTGTTAAGAGGTGACAACGGTAGGGCCATTTAGTATGCAGAAATGCTCACGAGGTGTCACCACCAACACCAGCTCCATCCCCAACACGACCCTCAGCATCCCTCCTGCATCATTCAAGCGTGTCATCACCAGCATCATTACCTATGGGGCCGTCTACGTGGATCAGAAACAAACAAGAGCAGTGCACAACTGCCCCCACTGCTTTGCACTATGCAGCGAAGAAGTCACCCAGGGGAAGATGTGTCATGCTATCCATTACGGGTTCTGTACAGTTGTAGCCCTACCCCCGGGGATTTTCGATCAGGATAAATGTAATAATTACGCAGAGCAGAGGTGTTGGAAGGTAATGACCTTTTCTTATTTATGATAGAATGAGTCTTCAATTGTGACCCGGTACATCGTAATCAGGAATTAAGTCACTCAGGCCATTTTACATAATGGCCGAGTAAAGTGGGGATGTGGATAAAGGTTGAAAAAAATCAGTTATCGTCAACACGCTTGTAATGTGTACCATTTGAAAGCTTAGGAAATTCTCTTTCTATCAACGTACACGTATCCCAATAAGTCAATTTGGGACTTATTTCTGATTTCGATGTACCGGGTCACAAATGTAACTATTTACATGCAAGTTGTTTAAATGTGTCCAAGAGACTTACCCTATCACTCAAAAGTAGCTCTCGTGTTTTTAGGAATTGTTAAGTAGGGGTGCATTTTGTTTAACATGTTTAACTCAGAATTAGGTACTTTTTGGACGTGAAGATCTGTGAAAAGTTAGGTTCACATTCACATTTGTGTACATGTAGATAGCTTTTACTTTCTGAATCCAAAAATATGTGTCCATTGGCAGTGAGCCATGTCGATGTATTTCCTGTTTGGTTTTGATGATGTGCAAATCTTGTTAAATGTGCAGTACACATAACTAAGATTTGAAAGCCAGATACCGTGAAAGTACATGTAACATGGATTGGGAATTAATCCTATTTTTTCAGGCATTCAATTTATTGTGACTTTGTACAGTGTGTATGGTATGTCCGCTTTCAGTTTTCATTTTGTTCCCTTTATGTTAGAGGGAAGTCTCTTTTTAATACGGTATTTCATTCATTGATACCAGTAAACTCTTTAAGAGTCCTCAATCCTCCAATTTCAATGTGCTTTACATGAACATGAACACTCAAGGGGTGTTGGGGTTAATAATTGATTGAGTGGCGTTTAAGGTAAGGCAATGCTTTCCCACAAAGAGTGTCACCATGTGTTACGTAATGAATATTCCAAAACAAAATTCAAACCCGTGGACAAGACAGAAATCACATCTGTAAAAACATGAAATCAAGAATTTTTTCTTGGAACAATTGTTTTTGTGGTATAAGTACTGATACATTTGGTCATTTGATGTTAGAGCAGGTTCATTTAAACGAAGATGGCTAATTACCAGTATGTAAACAAGAATTTATAGTCCAGATATCTATGCACAGTACAGGTGTATACTATATATGAACTGTTCAAAGGTACTTTAGTGCTTGATAATGATCTTTGGTTTGGTATTTTGTGGCCTTGATTTGCCTATGTTTTGCATCTCATTATAATTGTCTGGTAACAGAATTATCGTGTGCTGTATGATTTCACTGTGTGGGCTTTGCTATCTGTATGCGTGATTTTAATGTCCCAGATAATTTATGCAGAGATAACAATGTGAATAGCATCGAAAGTGAAAGAACCATTTTTATCAAAAGTGAAAGAATGTGAAACTGTTACAGCAGGTTGTGTCAGTACAAAAATGTACTGCAGTGTTCAACAAATTACAGTGTATCCAGTACTGTATGGTGTGAAATAAAATGATAAAATTCACAGTATCACCCCCTTGGCCAAAACTCGCCATATTTGTAGTTTTCCTCAATTTTTAAACCAATATATACAAAGTCTTCCATTATGCACTAAATTTTGCCCTATTCCTTATCCATTTATTTACAGTTTTTCCGAGATCAGCGTGAGTCTCATTCCCCTGCTCAGAAGATCCATGTCCCTCCATTTTACTTCCCCATGGGTCGTCCCGTACCTAGTGAAGAGAATGAAGCTGTCATCCAACGAGTCACTCAACTCTTTGAATCCTTACCAGAGGAGAGAGCATACAAACATCAGATGGACAAAGTCGCTATGGTGAGTGGGATCTAAATAAATCAGATGGACAAAGTCGCTATGGTGAGTGGGATCTAAATAAATCAGATGGACAAAGTCGCTATGGTGAGTGGGATCTAAATAAATCAGATGGACAAAGTCGCTATGGTGAGTGGGATCTAAATAAATCAGATGGACAAAGTCGCTATGGTGAGTGGGATCTAAATAAATACAAAACATTTGACATATTGAGAGCAAACCGTGTTTCAGTTCAACTGTTTCAGTCCTTCCAATTTAGTAAAAAAATTGAGAAGTAAAGTTTGCTGTTTCATGGAACCAGTTTACTAAAACTTCATGAGACAAATTGTTCATCTTGTTAGAATGTAATCCCTGGACAAATGGATTATTGAAACTATAGTTTTGTTTAGCTATCACATTGCTGCATTACAGCCAAACCATGTTTATGTTATTTGCTCAGTGAATGGCCTGCATAGTTCTTGTCAAAACACACATACTTGCAATTCACGAATGGAATGTCTCATTCATCACAAGTTACCAGTCAAAACCAGGCTAAGTAACCGATCAAAACCAGGCTAAGTGACCAGTACAAACCAGGCTAAAAATTCTTACTACTATAGCAGTATTGGCCAGTATGGTAACAGAGTGACAGATCTCTTGCTAACATTTTTCTTTCGCCAAAACAAAAAGGGCAACAAAGACAACAAATACCAAAAATAGGCTTTGGAAGTGAAGTATTTGACTCATTTCATCTGTGATCTGGTAGGGCAATACAATCAAGCCTGCTTAGTATTTTGATACCTTCTGGTCAACAGTCAATATGGCAGCGTTAAGAGATTGTAAGTTGGACCATCTGCTTACAGATGATGGAGGGGATTCCAGCCCTGTCTCTGCGGTCAGAGTCTTTCGGAGACTGATCAGCTGTCATTCTGTTGTAAAATTCTGATTGTGATACTGACGTAATTGGGAATTGATTTCCCAAATGATATTGATGAATACTGACAGCAAATTTACCGTACATACAGTTTACATGTATGTATGTACAGGTGTTAGCCTTCTGGTAGGCAAAACTACACACTGGAATTATGTACATGTGCCATACATGTAATTGCTTTAAAAAATGAGCCACTGAAGCTTGAATTAGTAGCTCCTGTGTAGAGGTCTGTCCCTTACAATTTGTACAGAAAGCGCCCTCAATTGGTAAGGAATGTGGATGATAGGTTTTCAGTTCATTCATCCATAGCTCTCCATCTGTTAACTCGATCGTCCTGAGTCAGACCAATAGAGCCAGTTGCCATGAACCTTCATCCTTGGCAAGAATTTAGCAGAGCACCAGTTACAACTGGCTTGAAATCTCATGGCATTTTAGCTGGTAAGCCCCTGTTGCCAAGCACACTTCATGAAATTGGCCCCAGATACTGAGATGACAGAGTGAGTTCAAATCCAGCATCATGGTCAGCTCATTGGCTGATACCAGTTGTGAGTGCCTCTTGTCAAGTCACAGCTCACTGAAGATATGTAGATTGGAGGGAAATCCAGGGACAAATCCAGTCTAAATTGCTTTTCCAAATGACCAAGTTGAGGACCTGTCCTCTTGAGTGGACGGCGAGTCAGTGACCTTACCTATGTTAGTATCTCAAGTTGTTCCCACGTTTGTGTACCTTTGCTTCAATCAGCATGGTACATGCACATAACAGACTTTCAAAACAATCATTTATCTGGGAAAATGATGCTTTGGATGTTTAGAAAGCACATTTATCATATTGAAACCTTATTCTTGTGTTTGCCTCTTTCAGGTTTTCTCAAATAGAATTTTCTCAATTTAGACTATGTGCAATTATCAAACTTAATACACCAGTTCCCATTAATATTTGTACAAATTTCACTATGCATGTATGATTTTGATGTACTTGGGATTTCATTTGTCGCTGACATGAATTAAATTCCTCTCTCTCAAAAATGGATTACAGGGACTTTTTGTCAACATTTGGATCTCTGATCTTGTTCAATTGGGATTTTTCTCTCCCAGGCATGCAAATGTCCCCAATATTGGAAGATGCCATTGTTCCTTGCGGCAGGTGGAGACAAGGTGGGCTATGTCACATCACACATGTACCTCACCATGTGGAAAAGGTGGGTGTTGAAATGATCTTGTCTAATTTCACCTGGAATGTGTTGTCTGTCTTGGTACTGGTGTATAAATGTATTGACATAGTATCCCAAGTTACTTAAGATTTGAACTTTGCTCATTTTCCAATTCAAACCATTCACTTCGGATGACATACTGTACATGTGTACATTGCATGTAGAATAAAAAGTCATTTGTGTGTTGACATTTTTTAACTAATATCTGAAAACCTATATAAGCACACTGCACATACATACTGATGCAAGCCAAAAGTAAGTGTTAAGTGTGTTTGCAAATATGTATTTCTTCCAATTCCAGGATCATTTTAAAGAAGTGAAGCCTGTAGACAGCTACAATACCTACATGAATGTACAAAGTGGCAAATCATTTTAAAATGAAATTAAAATGTTTACAACAGATCTTTGATAATCGCTGATTTGAATACCGGACATATGCTGTGGCTACTTTACTTTCTTCATTTTCCACTTGATTGTGATCATGATATTTTCATTTCTTATTCCAAGATTTTTGATAAAGAATGTGTTTAATCACTAAAAGTCTGAGGTAAGGATGAATTGTTGGATCAGTCAATTTCATCCCAGGCCGTTATGGTGACAGGATTTCATAACGCTTCATTATTTAGTTCATCATATTCCATTTTATTATTGGTGTTGATTGGACATATTTGTTAGAATTACGGTTGATTTACTGGATTACACTGAGCCTGTTACTTTACAGTGAGGTTTCCTCATTTTATGGAAATGGGAATCGAAGTATTTTTTTGTCATTTAGTAAGAAAATTTAACTAAAAAGAAAAAGAATATTGGGATTGTAATAATGACGAGGATGGGGCTATGATATCAGTATCTACCATACCTGAGGCTGCATTGGTGGTGTGTACAATCTATGGTACATGTGTAGGGTACATGTACTTGAAGCAGTGGCACAGACAAGAATCCTTGTCAAGTTAAGGGGTCTTATTAGGCTTTATCATACATCTTGACAGAGAACCCCTCAGCCACTGCCAACTGGCCATCTGATGAGAAGGCAATTCCCAATGGGAAGGTTAGCCCCTGGGCCAGACAATCAAGGAAAACCCCATTTGCATCGTAGAGGTGAATATGACCAGCACTGTTCCAACCATTACTGACTCCAACATAGATCCCTGACTGGTTGATACGCACACCAAGGCAGCAGCCCACCGGTTGGCCTTTGATGAGTGGCTTGATGGAGGAGTGAACAATCCCATTCCTATCAGTGATATCCACTTGTTTATTTTCATATCCACTGATCACAACTTTATCAGTGGAGTCATCAACAGCAAGGTAGTAAGGTGCTATCTGGACTGTTATGGTGCGTAGAAGTAATCCATCAGTGGGCATGTGCTCAGTCCATACCATCCGCTTGATGTCACCCACTATGAGGGTACCATCAGCCTTGACTGCTATGCTCCGCAGGTCTATTTCTATGTTGTCAATATCGGCCAGCGGCACCGTGGAAAACTGGAAGGCCAGTTCTTTGTCTGTGTTGAATACTTTGACGTGCTTGGAGGTATCTACAACCACCAACATGCACATCTTGTTGATTACTGCAATATTACGGGGACCTGGAGAAGGAAAAGAGTAAAGAAAAAGGGAGAAGCTTAAATGTGAAAAGGGAAACATTAAGCTCATAATTAATGTTCCACCAATAGACATCTCCTTCAGGTTTGAAGAAAAGTTCATGTTGATATTTTCCTCAAGGGTCAGAAAAGTATTTACGTTCTGATAGTGGAATGATGCCCCTGTGTTGGCCCTCATTGCTGCAGATGATAACTCGCTTGTTCCAGTAATCTGCCACAGCCAGCTCACCGGGTTGAGTTGAAACAATGCCAAAGGTCCCATTGAATTCTTCTTGGCCACTTCCCTTTCTGCCAAATTCACCACTTAGCCTCCACTGATCTTTGGCCCCCAGATTAACATCATCAGTCCTCTGATCCGAGCTGAAAGGACTGAGCTGGGAAGTAGAAGTTGCTGCCAGACTTGATGAATCTGCCATCTTATCCTGCTTTAGTTCTCTGCCAAACTACATGTAATCAGTTTAGTTTGCTTTGTACAGTACATGCATCTCTGTCTCTGGAAGGAATCATTCAACTCTCTTCACTGGCTATTACTTGAGTTGTTTCTCTTGACATTCTTGTGGAAGCTTCCTGGCTGTCCAGAAGCAATGAGCCACGTGCAGCTGAATATTTCCAAAGTTGAGTTGATGCTGTGTCTTAGGTCACTTCTGTCAAACAAATCTAATCAAAAATTGGAAAATGACTTCAAAAATCCCCTCACAGATCTTTTTTAAATTCAGATGATTCCCTAATGTTTAACTATACATACATTTATGCTTGACGTTTGAAAATTCATCAACTTGATCAATTTTATTCTTATTCAAAGGGAATACAATTCCAGTTTTTAAAAGTTACCCCTCTAGCAAGTACAACCAAATCTGAAAAGCATTTGCATGCTTTTGTTTAAGCTGTGTTATTGTCAAGAAAATAAATAGACAGCTTGAAACAAAATCAACTTCTATCCTTAAATTGAAGACCACAATGAAGGTTATCATTTGAAATTGAAACCCTAACACAGAGATGACTTCATTTTGATTTCCAAAACTTGTCTAAATATTGCCTGAAATAAATATATGTAGCCTACCTCGAAGTTTAACAGTACTAGTGGCTAGTTGATGTGAACAAACTGACAATGTCGCCAACTTACCTTCCCTGTTGTCTGCACTACCAAACTACATGTATGAAAAGTAGAATGGTTCCATTGCATAGATTTAAGAAGAATTGCAGTGGACAAACATTCCCGGAATGCCCTCATGGTATGGGGTGTGCATGGTGGTATGTGATATTATTAACCAAACCTCATCCATTCATGCAGTAGTCTATATCTCCACCAGTGTGTTTACATAAGATAGTGTCCTAGGTTACTGAGTCTTTGTACTTTGTTCAGCTTCTTTGATAAACAGGTTTATGGATTAATTTTGACCTGGTTGGACCAACCATTGTGCTGCGTGGCCATGTAAGCATTTTTGCATTTGTAATGGTAAAATCTAATTTTGCTTGGCACCAGTGGGTTATGGGGGCATTTTCCCCCCCCCCTGCACTTGTTGACTATTATTTTATTGGCTTTGTTCTTGGTACCTTACCTGAAGTTCTGAACACCGGAAAGCGGTGTAACATTAATGAACAGGCAGCTAAATGTTTTTCCAGAGACATTCATTCCAGTTTTTCCTCTTGATTTGACTTCAGGTTAATCAGGGATTGCCATGACGATGCTGCAAGGTTTTTCCGTCTTCTTGCCAAGCCAGGCTGCAGTTATTTAGTTCCAGAAGACTTCTATCCATTTATTCAGGTATTAAGGAAACATTATCAGCTTTGTGCAATCATAATAATGTTTGCTCTGCAACCTTGTCACTGGAGCTGAGTTCGGTCACAGTGCTACAGATGCATGTTAGTTTGGACCATGTGGAGAACTTTACTTTGAGGTTTATTGCCTAAAGATTTTAGAAAAAAGTTAGAACAGTCCCTCAAAATTTTTTGTTTGATTTATGTGTAAAGTATATTCTTTTGTGTTTCTCATTTTGTAAAATAAACTCTCCATCTGTCTAAAGACTTTTAGACACTTTTCACTCAGTCGTTCACTGTTTATCGCTTGTAAAGCATTGTCAATATTGTACAGACACTGATGTAAATGTGGCTAGAATGTCTAGTTGTAATAAACCAGTTACAGTCGACAGTCATGCAGCGATTCTGGCATTGCTTGAGAATGTCATAATTAGCTTCCCTGCTGACTGTCTAGCCTCCTTCACAGCATCTTAAGACATTCAGGAGACAGACAGACATCTTAAAGCTTACCACAACACACCTATTGACGTGCCAATCTCAGCAGTATAGCGCATCTCAAAGATTAATACCTTCAATCTGTCCTACTTCGTACTGGTCCATGAACTCAAAGAAACAAGAAATAGTCACTGTACTACTACTTCATTTTTTATTCTGTTAAATGTGCATTTGTCTACTTCTAAAAGCATAAATTTTGAACAAGTTTACATATCCTTTCAAATTCCAACTTTAAAGTTGTAAAAGTCGTCTTCCTTCATTGAACCTTTAACATAAGAATTATGCCGAGTGTTGTTGTTTTTGACATTTTTGTCTTCACTCTCTGGGAAGGCTGTTGATCTAAGTCACTTTCTATGTCAGGAAGTTGTTTGTGAGTTGTGAAGAATTCACAAGATTTGAGTGATCAACATTCTTACATCAAGTTTCTTATAGTCTTCTTTTATTGTTGTTTCTCTTTTTTTTCCTCTATTAGGAGGTCGTTGACTCTCATCCTGGCCTCACCTTTCTCCTTGATGCCCCAGAATTCCATTCCAGATATATACATACAGTAAGTACGGTTCCATGGTAACACTCACTTATCGACAGTTTTCTCTTGAACATTTGCATCATTTCTTGTACAACACTGGATTTGTTGATCAGACTGTTGTGAGTCGGTTGGTTTTTGAAAGATTTTGTTGTGACACTAGTTAACTTTAAAATAGGGTTTGGAGCAATTGAATATAAGTAGTAACATGTGTCAATTGCTGTTTATTTTAAACCACATGTACAGGTAGAACATGAAAACTGCATACATACCGGTAGCTATCACGTAACTCAGCACATTTGTGGCACAAATTTGTTTTGAATTTTCAATCTTTTTGAAAAACTAATATTAAGAAGATTTCAGATGCGTGAAGTTGAATTGAAATCAACGTATAGGTCTTTCATACTTGTACTCATTGAGTGCTGGATAGCAGCTAAATGGAGTTTGTTCCGTAGCAAACAGAGACAGATGGCTAGAAGTGTTTGAAACATGTAAACAAAATTGGAAACATTTACTGTGTATGGATAGCGTAAGTTACTTGGCAAACAGTAAGTTTTGATATAAGAACTCTCTTATTGATGGGGAAGCGTATTTACAAAGACATGCACTTCAATTCTCCCATTGTCATTAATACCATTGATTACATAACCAGGCCCTACCTCGGCACCATCAACAATGATTTGAACTATGACCTGGGTGTTGCTCTCTGACCGTTCTGTCTCGGTAGCAAGACTGGAATCATTTGTGGTGGGATGAGATTGGGAAGGCGTGGCAAAGGGTGATGTTTGTGGGATTGATTGTGTTGGGGTCTGCTCACGAGTTTGGAAGGGGGTCTGTGCGGTGGATTGTTTGTCATACAAAGTTAGTGTTTCTGTAATTTGGGTTGGTGTCAGAGTTGGGAAAGTTCTTGAGGATTCAGTGGTTGTTTGGACTGGAGATTGGATAGGATCTGCTGCTGGGGTTGGGAGAGAGGTTTGGTTTGATGCCAGGGTTAGGTTTAGATTTTGGCTCAGAGCCTGTCTTGATTGAGTTTGGGTCACTGTTGTTGAGGTTGGTGAAAGCATTTTGATGAGGGTTTCTGTTGGAGATTGCGTTAGTATTTGGGCTTGGGTTGATGACTGGGATGAATCTACGGTTCTTGATTGGGTTGGAAGGGAGGCTGGGATGGAGGTGTGGATAGGGGTTTGGCTAATATCACCTTCATTCTCATTCCAATCCAGCTGCTGGGTTTGAGATGTTGCTTGAATCAAAGTGGTATGGGATCTATTGAAGATTGTTTTGCCGAGTGTTTGGTCTGTCATTCCAGCAGTCAATGCCTGTTGTGTAACATTTTGTATCTGATGACTCAGAGCTGTTTCTTGAAGATCAGCAGGGAATGTCATCATCTGTTCCACCACAGTTTTCTCAAGAGGCTGCAGGGATAATGTCTGAAGGTGCTCCATGGGTGGTATCTCTGAGAGATGCTCTGTGATTCTGTCTTCAAGGTCTGATTCTGTCTCCTCAGTGGGGTCTATTGCACCTGTGTGCAGAGGAGTAGAATAAGACTCAGAGGATGTGACTTCATGCCGAGATGTAGGTTCTGATGGACGTTCCATTACCATATCAATTGTCATGGATGCCACATTGGTCACTTGAGATGATTCCTCTGTCACAGTGTCCGTCACCATGTTTGTTATCCCATTTGTTGAATTGGCAGCGCTTGGTATGACAGCGGTGGGGACTGATGGTGCTTCTGTATTGAGACGTATGCGTAGCTGCTGTGAGCTGTTTACCTCATTTGTCACTGTTTTTGTCACCAAGGCTGATACAAAGGCTGATGTGATGCCCTCACTATTCATGCTTTCTTGTTCCTGTGTCACATTGTCCCTCATTCCATCTGTCACTGGGTGTTCCGCCACATCTGAATCAGTTTCCTGTGTATGCCCACCTGATGTTGGGTCCTCCGGTAGGGGCGTGGCCATGATGAGGGAAGGTAGGATGGCCAGAATCAATAAAGTCTTGGGGACCATCTTGAATGGGCTCAGAACGGTGTGGGGTGTTGTCACTGTGCCAATAGTTAATGAAAAAAGAAGACTTTACAGAAACTGAGACAGAAATAATTACTGTTTATGAGTTGAAATAGAAAAGAATTCAACATATTGGAATGTTGAGAGTTAAATGTTTTAAATTATTTCCATATAAAACCCTCGTTAGCAAACATCAGAAAAATCCCATCTGACCTTTAGAGAATAATACACGCATCTTAGGTTTTTTGGCTTTTGGCTGACATCAATTCATTTTTTTTCAACAAGTTTATTTTGCTTTTTGTTGGTGTTTGTTTTTGCTGCTGCCTTATCACAGGCAAACCACAGTATGCATAATGACTTATCATAAATTTCAACTCTACAGGTGTAAATTAAGACTGCTTCTGCACCCCAACTTCTTGTGCCTGTAATCCTGTAGATTTGTATAAACTGCCTTAGTATAGGTTTTAACAATTCATACGTAACCATTCAAGGAAAATATTCACAAATGTGTTGGTACTTACAAACTGGCACTGTTGAAATGAATTTGTTAAATCTTGGAAGTGTAGTATTCCTTGTAGTGTGACACCTTACTCAGCGATGAGCAGAGGAAGTCATTAGCTGTTTCTTCGATCTGGTGCATGAGACTGAAAAGAATGACTGCCACTCCCTAGACAGAGCTTGAGTTTCTTAAATCACTCTCTTTCAAATGTACCTTGATTTACTACTTAATTAACCAATCAAATCTCTGCAGTTAACCCTTTCGTTAAATCATCCAATCAAAACCAAGCTTCTGTCAGGTGATCATTGCAAAACTCTCCCTTTAGTATGTTCTCCAATCAGAATCTATCATCTGTAGAGTGACAGCACTGAAGCCCCACCCCTTGGCAACTTTTCAGCCAATGAGTGTGCAGGTTACATGAATGTTGGGAGGGCATCTTGACTTGATGATTGTTGATCTATTTTGAGTCCCCTGAGATTGGTTAGTTATCCCTCTAGGCATAAGTACAGACTAAAGGCTTAGCATAGATAGCTTTATCACTCTCAATCACCTTGGCCTCTTTAAAGGACAAGCAAGGAATCTTGATACCTCTTGTCCCATGTTGGCCTGCATACTCCCAGATCAGATTTGGTGCTGATTGTTTTTCACAAATGCATGTATGTTTAGGAATAGTGAAAAAGACCATTCCAATCATTCTGTCTGGTTTCTGTGATGTAATTTATGGTGATCTTGGTGGAGTATGCCAACCTGGTCTGGATATTATCGTCAGATGCTTCCAAACTGGCCTTCTTAGTTCAAAGTTCTTACTCTCAAAAGTTCTAACTCTGAGTTTAAAAAGATGACATGTTAAAAACCCAGTCTTGGAGACGGAGTAAAAGCTTTCATGTGTGTGTTCTATCACATTCCCTGTACGTTAACATGTCAGTTTGACTGGAGTTCCTCCCCCCATTTCTTTTTTTTAACCTGTTCGGTCATAGTACAGTTGCTGTGCCCATCACAATGGATGAGACATACCCAGTCCTGACATCAAAATGCAGCTGTTGAGGTCAAAGGTCAAAAGGTTAAGGCCACAGATGCACACTCCTTAAAAAGCTTCTTGCCTTCCAAACCTATTTCCAACAATCCACCCTTGTTGATTATGAGCCAAACAGGGAGCAGCATTGATGGATCTGTTACAGGTCCCAGGTTTAGACCGGGAGCTTATCAAAGGTCAGAGGTCAGACAGTAGTTAACCTTTCACTCTTTGACATGTATTAATACTTCAACCATGGCACCACACACAGTTCCCCTGATGGGGATACCATGATTGATGTTATCACTTGGGCGTGAGTCAAACACCTCACCTTGTAGAGTTCAAACAGTGTCGAAGGAGTGACTTCAGACAATAGCCTCACTGAAATTCATGAGGGCAGACTAGATTGACGATAATCATCCATTGCACATGTGGTGATGTCATCCAGTGATTGATTCACAGGCTCTTATTACTGTGCCTAGTACATGGAATGATGACGTTATGAACAAATGATAGCAGCCAGGCTAGTGGAATAGGATTTTGATTTCATGTGATTTGAGATTCATCCATAAAATTGAATTCATCCATTGGTTTCTGATACAAAATATTTGTCTGTTCTGATGAAAGATTAAACAGAGACATTTTCAAGATCAGGATTGAGCTTAGCTTGAAATCTTCAAACTGTTGTGGTAGTGTTTGGATTACTTCATTGAGTAGAGCATCTCTTCATCAGTGTCGAAGACAACTGTTATTCAACTTGATCTTCATTAACATCACGTTTTTATCACATACCACTATTACTCAGAGAAACATGACTAAAGGCATTTATGACTTAATGATGGAAGTTAATTTACAGTGAGAGTGTAACTGCACAGGAGATGAAAAAAATTACATGTTAGTCTTCTTGTCCATCAGGTGATAGCGAGAATATTTTACTGCGTCAACAGAACATGGAATGGTAGAATAACGCTACCAGAACTCAGGAAAAGCAACTTGCTGTCGGTGAGTCTCTCTCTTCTATTAGCCCTAACCCCCTAGGGACCATTGAAATCCTGCATAACCTTGTTGGCTTCAGCATGGTTAACCCCCTAGGGACCATTGAAATCCTGCATAACCTTGTTGGCTTCAGCATGGTTAGGGCTAATTCCTGATACACACATCTGTTGTCATTCAGTTTTCAGGGCTGTGATATGTGTTCCACATCCTCATAAAATTTGACCATCTACTGCTAGTATGGACAACTAGGGCACCATAGTATTACTATATCATAATTTTAACATTGATATCTCAACTTAAGAGAGGTTTCCAAGAGAAAGACTTCATTTGTAAGATTTCCAAGAAAGATGTACAAGTTCAATGACACAGTTTTATCCTCTGGTTGTAGGTCATTGCACTTCTTGAAGAGGAAGATGACATCAATCAGATCTTAGATTATTTCTCCTATGAACACTTCTATGTCATCTACTGCAAGTTCTGGGAGTTGGACACTGATCACGACTTATTCATTGATAAGAAGGATCTTAGCAGACACAATGATCATGGTAACTCTTTGTTCTGTCAAAGCCGACCTTTGTGGTGTTTATACATATTCAACAACTGCAGTATTTATTTAGCCATCAATAGAGGGCAGTGTTGCAGTCTTCTGGGACATTTAGAATCAAAGTGAACTAACTAAATTTATTTACACATAAAGCACCATGAAAATATTTGGACATTGCTATGTAGGAAAGATCCTCTTATATTAGGCTGCAAAAAAAATGTTTAGCACCAGTCGTATTTGCAAAAAAAGAGGTTTTTTTTGTTTTGTTTTGTTTTGTTTTTTTAAATACTTTGGTATGAATGCTGATCTGGACTGCTACAACCACGGAGCAAAAGTGCCATGCTCACTTCAGACTCGTTACAGAAGTGCACATGACGTTGTGTGTATGCACTTAAGTCGCATGTTGTGCATGCACGAGAATTTGTGGGTGTTGTAGAAACAACGAGGGATGGCTAAGAACATCAGAAAAGACAACTTTTACAGATAAAAAAAATATGCACCAAGATTTGTTGAGGCGGGAACTGATGCTGAACTAATTATTTTTTCATGTGGCCACAACTACATTTAAGCTGCCTGCCGTGCCTTTCCCTCTTAAAAATTGACATTATCTTCACTTCTTCAAATTAATTAGAAAGTTAATTCTGCTTCTTCTTTGAGCTCTTTCTTCCAAGATCATAGACAGGATCTTTTCCCCTGGCGCTGTACTCAGGTAAATAATAATTCAATTCATGGATTTCTTAGCAATGAATACATTCGCTGATTGAGAAATGAATTAATACTTTGGTAGATTTATTGTAAATCATTTCTAAAACCATATGCCATTTGCTTTATTCAGTTTTTCTGTAACTCTTTTATTTCATTTCAAGTCCTGAGTCTGTAAGGGAAGGTCGGATGAGCTATGCTGAGTTTGTGGCATTCATCATCTCTGAAGAAGATAAGAAGACACCAATGAGGTCAGTAGTGATTTGTCTACATGTGTGCCACTTCCTTTTATCCTGGGGTGAATCTTTTGCCACATAAACACCTCCAGAAAGTAAATCATAATCAATGGAGCATTGTTATCCATGTGGGTTTGAATCACATCAAGGTGCCACTACGCGTCTGTCTCTATGCAAGATATTTGATCACAATCGCTCCTCCCCTTCAAGAACTGCATATTGGCACCTGTAAGGAGACTGATTAGGTTAATGTCTTCGCCTGACGATACAGAATAATCGTTACCTAGTTCCTCGATAGGTGTCAACACTTGTACAAAGAGTCACGTAAGCACCATGTTGCCATCATCAAAACTGTAACAAACTATTAAATGTTATTTTGCTTTGGCTGTTTCAGCATTGAATACTGGTTCCGCTGTATGGATATGGATGGAGATGGTTTCCTCTCCATGTATGAATTGGAATACTTCTATGAAGAACAGATCAGTAAAATGGAAGCATTAGGGATTGAGACTTTACCATTCCAAGATTGCCTGTGTCAGGTGGGTGATGTCTGTTCTTCAATTAGATGAAGTATACATTTTATGCATTTATCTTGAGATCAGACCTATTGGATTCATGGCTGAATACAGTTTTTTTTATGCTAACAATCAAACGAGAAACATTTAACAAGTCCTGTGGAGGGTTAACCAGTTGGGGGTCAAGATAGATCCAATGACAGATTTCATCGTGTAGTCAATACCTGAAAGAGCCAGTCTGAGAACCAGTCTCTTTCTTAGAGATGACAAAACATCTTCCTGCCCCATTCTGATTTGATGATTTTCCTCTTTCCTTCCCAGCTCCTAGATCTTGTCAAGCCCCAACGGCCTGATCGGATCTCCTTGCGAGACCTCAAGCAATGCAAGCTAGCCTTCATCTTCTATGACACGCTGTTCAATCTAGAGAAATACCTGGAGCATGAACAGAGAGATCCGTTTGCCTGTAACAGGGTGAGATAGTTCATTGCTTACTCTCCAACCCCTGAAGTTTTCAGAGGCAACAAATTATCAGAAACTCACTCAATTTTTCTGTGTAAGAGAGACGAGTGTTATTAACGTGTTTAAGGTGTAGAGCACCATTTGTGATTGATAGCTTCAGTCTTGATGTTTACAAGAAATTGGTTTTGGTTCCTGCTACTCTGCATGTCCTTGGGCTATCCATTTTACCATGTTTGCTTTTTCCACACCAGGGAATATTATAAGAGCGTATGAGTCATCAATCTGCTTATCAAGTGTTAGTTTTCCTTTCTAGATTGATTCATTTTTCACCAAGGAGTACAAAGCTTGCGCTCCCTTGAGCCAGATGCTGTCCTTACTCACTCCACGAAGGCTTTTTAGGAACATAATACTGATGTGAATTCTTGCAAGAAGACAATGAGACAAGAGACCAGTCACCATCGACTACTAAGGAATGACATGCTCCGTTGCTTTCCTCATGCTTTGTTTCATTTGCTTCCTGTTGTGTCTAGGATGCTGAGAATGAAGAACCAGAACCCTCGGATTGGGAGAAATATGCAGCTGAAGAATATGAGTTGTTAGTTGCAGAAGAAGGAGCTCAAGAAACCCAGCAAGGAACCAATAGTCCTGAAGATGTGTAAGTAGCACTAACTACTATACCTCATACATATTCATGATTCAGCAGTCCTGATGATGTGTCAGTCGTGCTTACCTTTACACCTCGTACATATTCATGATCAGCAGTCCCAAAGATGTGTAAATAGCACTTACTATTATACCTCATACATATTCATGATTCAGTAGGCCTGAAGAAGCATAAGTAGCACGAACTGTTATACCTCATACATATTCATGAACTAATAGTCATGAAGATATATAAGTAGCACTGACAATATACCTCATGCATACACATGATCAGTGGTCCTGAGGATGTATGTGGCGATGTCATAACTTTTACATATTCATGGCAAATAGTTCTGTTGATATGTAACTAGCACTGACTGTTATACCTCATACACATTTATGAGTCGGCAGTCTTGAAGATATGAGTGGCACTGACTATTTTACCTCATACATGTACATATTTATCAATCGACAATCCTCAAGATGTGTAAGTAGCCCTTTGATATCTCATGCCTGTGTCATATATATTCATTAGCAAGTATGTTTATTGATATGTCTGGTTATTTCATTGCATTAGCAAAGTTGCTGTGGTCATTCCTCTGATATGCTGTCAATGTCACTTAGTCATTGATATCTTTTTGGTCATATTCACAGAGACTACCCAGATGACTTTGAGCCAGAGGATGAGGAGATCTTGACCGTTGACCTCCAACAGAAGATAAAGTTGTCGGAACCCCCACAGCATAATAAATGGGTGGGCAATAATAATGACGGCATTGAGTTCAAATCCAGCATACCACTCTGACGTACTCATAATGTACAGTGTACATACACCTGTCAATTAATAATGTACATATTCAACTGATCATCTGAAAAGTAACAAAGCAAGTGAAGCAAATCAAGGTGTACGGGTTGTCAGAGATTATGATTGATAAATTCGAATGAATTTGTTAATTTTTTTCAAGATTGCAATTTTTTATCTGATCACAGGGTAGAGTAAGCTGGACGCAGGTGCTTATCAGATTTGTGCCGTTAAAAACAAGAATAAGAAAAGCATCTTAATGAAAAAAGGGGTTGTAGAAGGTCTGTCATGTAAAAGCCAAAGAATAAAGAAGCTGCGATTTATTAATCTTTTTTAACCTGGAGATTTACCTGAGTGGGTTAAGAGCCTGTAACCTCTTAATTCCTGACAAGTGCTCTATCAAGTGAATTGTCATGTCTTATGTTGGCAATCTCTTCATTTTACAATACGCTGTGGCCCCTTTGACTCCACTGATCAAAGAACCAACCAAATGCGACGACATGGATCAGAACCTTACACCACTGGTCTAGCTGTCTGCCTACGGAGCAATCCAACGCCATGATGACATTCTGTCTATGGAAGGATTGCACTTCACAGTTTTTCAATGGTTCCTTGCCACACTGAAGGAACTGTTACCAAGTACCAACTGCATGGGATCTATTGCCCTAGATCAGTTAAGGTTAACCAAGAATTATGCCGCACCTCACACATATAATGATCTTGGCAAATCTCCCTGATGGCAGTTCCCAATTGGCATTGTTCCTGCAGAGTGTTGTAGACAACACCTGCCCTGTTGCACCAACTCGTTAGTTCGGCTGTGTTATCAGAGACGGTTTACTCTGTATGCTCAAAGACAGATTTTTTCCTGTTGAGCCAGTACGGCAAACAGTTGCCTGTGATACAAAGTGGAATATTAATTTTGTGGTTGTTTATGTAATGCAATTGATAACACATGGTTATAATTCAGGCTGTCTCAGATTAAATAAGAAAATTCTAATGCAAACAAAATGAAATTGGATATTTTGCAATCAGCTGGTAAAATGTTCCTGAAGCTGTCATTTTACACAGGTCGTTTGTATCAACCTTGAGAATGCCAGGGAAAGGGGAGATTATGCTTGGATAGTGCTGTAGCATGGATGTTTAGATCTCAATAGAATTGTTAGTTGCAAATAATGCAGTGGCTTTGACACAGGTCAGTGCAGACGAAGTCAACCGGAACTTTGATAGTTGCTGAATTGAGTGCTCACCTTTTGGTTGAAAAAATGAGGTCACGTAAGGCCCATTTAATGCCATTTGTCATTCACAAGATGGATTCGGTTTGAATGCCAAAACCCAAAGTAGCTGTTTGTCAGTCTGTTGGTTTGTTTGTTCCTTCTTGTTTCTTGGTGGATTTCTTGGTTTGCTGCCTAGTTTGTTTAGTTAGTTCTAGATGGTGTGCTACTTTCATTTGCCATTGGCTGGGTTTGACCCCCGCCTCCGGTCGGGAAGCAACTGTAACAAATCCATTTTAATTTTCATTCATTTCAATTATTTCCCCATTTTTTCTATTTATTCGCTTTGTGCAATGATTAGTTATTGCTAAATTATGAAATTTCTTATGAAAACAGCGAACATATTTATAAACGGTGCCTTCATCAATTTAGTGGTATCAAGTAATGATGCCAATCTGAAGCTTAGACTTTCCAGGCTATTTCCTGGCTGTCCTGGGCTGTATATATATAACATGAACATGTTTGTGCTTGTATATATAAATTATTTAAGTATAAACTCCCCAGAATAATTTTTGATATTATCGAAACTCATCTGTTTGATTGAATGGGTGTTATTATTCCTCTAGATCCGCAGGAGGAACCACTGAAAAGAATTTTTTTTACACAGGGATGGGATTTTTTCAGCCGCGATTTCCTTCTCTTGTTTGTTTGCCCGCGTGTAAGACTGACAAAGCACCCGGGATTTTTTTTTTTACCGTTGTCAATTTGCCAGCACGGAAAGGCGTAGCGTGCAGTGAAATTGGAATACTGTTATATTTCCCGAATTAAAAAAACAAGAACCCACTGGACTTGGTGAAATGTTGGTCATGTGTGAGAGTCCTATGCTGCCTTTTGTTTCGATGGACGTTTGCTTGGCGACGTATGACGTCTCTTTGCGAAGTTCTAAATGAAAAAGGAATGTGGATATGGACGATGTCCTACCCACCTGACTGTACACCTACTCCCATTCAGCCTCTCACCACATTAACTTTTATCACCACACTGATCCAGGCCTTACCGTAAGCAAGAGATACTAGAATGTATTTTCATTTTGTTCTGTAATCCGGATAAAATCACACGAAACACTTAAAAAGCCGAACTGTTCTTTATAAATGAATTAAAAGGCCTACGATAGATCAGCATGGTTTTTCCTTGTAAACTTTAATCTTTGTTACAGGTCCTGGATTGAAAACGACCTTGATTTTTATTACCTTTTTTTAAACAAGAAAAGGCAGGATGCCAACGGATTTATTATGGATGTAGATTATTTTCGTACTCGTGTATCGTATTGCATCATTTTTTATTACTGCTGAACATCATTTTGTTTGATTTTCTGACAAAAATGTGTAGCTGTGCTGATGAAGTGTACAAAAAGGAGCGCTGTGGAAATATGTTTTGTTGGGCCAGTAAGAAAGAAAGTCATTTTAATAAGCAAAAATAATTTTCCTCAAATTCAGCTTCCGAGGAAAGCTGAGGGAACCTTTCTCGCCGTCGTAGTGTCATGAGTTTTAGTTTTTTGTTATACCCTACGCGGGACGTTATTAGCTATGAATATTAATGACCCGTATTGTTGTCATTATATCGTCACGGAGTAGCTGAGGTATCTCTCTTTGGAAAACAAGTGGACGTGATAGGATTTGACCGTTAGGGCCCCTGAGGATATCGAAGGCTTGTTTGACGCGGTCACCTCTTCTGTCCTATTTTAGAGATGGTCTTACCCGTGTATTGAATGTTGGCACCGAAACGATTATTACTTTTTGGGTGATTTTTTTAAATATGATTTTTAAAGTTTTCTGTCGTCCCGTCAGAAGGATCACTGGTGAAACTGGATCGTTATAGTTTGTTGAATTTTCCACTCGAATGCAGAACTCGATTTGGATTGCTGATTGTACCCATTACCGCTATCCTCAATCTTGCGGTCCAAGATCTATTGATTTGAATTCAGTTGCAAGATCTGTCAGGATCTTTGCTGATGTCAGGATTTTTCAAACAGTTTCTTGTAAAATATGGAAAATCATGGGTTTTCCCATAAGGTATTTTTACGTGTAAAATTGACAATGAACACAAGAAATGGGTATTTTAAGGATGCCTTTCGGAAAACGCATTATGTATATACATAGACCATACGCTGCCCTGCCCCCCCCCAAACGTTTGGCGATTGTTTGGTGGATGTATTTCATTGCCTTCCAATTTCGCCCCAGAAAATGACAGTGAAGAACATTTTATAACATTGGCAGTGTTGTGTTCAACACACTTGGCAGTTCAAGCGGGTTTTTTTTGGGGGGGGTATATTTTTTATACTCAAACACGACCGCATGCTCATCTTGAATATTCTCAACTTTGAAAGTTCATATAAAACCGTTTACTTCCGTACAGCGTATTATGTAAAATGTATCTAGACTACCTTTGGCTTTGCCGTAACACGGCCGTGCGTATCACACGGTTTGCTTGCCAAGAAAGTCAGACTCTAATAACCGAACTGTAAGTCTCAGTAAATTCTCTGCCTTGTCAAGTCTCGTCATTCAAAAGGTTGAAAACTCGAAGGCCCAGAGTGCAAATTGGGTCGCACATTTCACGCTCTGCGGTATGACATTAAATCTTGGTTCATTTCACGCTGCATTTGCCCGCGCTTTCCCGCATCAGCTTCGTGAGTGCTTCATTATTTATGGCGCGCGCCTAAATGATCCCAAAGATAACAGTAAGAGTCGATTGTTTATTTTGCTCTATAAATGTCAGCTCGTCGACGGATATTTTGACAGGATTTTCGCCCATGTTCCTGAATTTAAAATATAAAGTTTAAAAGAAAGAACCTACTGGAGAAAGGTTATAAGTTTGTTGAGCTGAGTTGATCTGGTTTCGTGTTTCCTGTTTCCTGGTTTGGGATCTTTCTGAATTAAAAAAATAGGATAACAATTATGGCAATAATTTGTCCACACATCACTTGACACCTTCTGTTTTTGTTCCGTACATAGAGGCTCAGTGAACACACGTCACTTGTAATTTTATGATCCAGTTATCTTCGTTGTACCCGTGTTAGTCTTCCATAGAAGACTGCGATACGCAACTTAATCGGTCTTCGGTGATGGTCATTTTCAAGATGTGCTGCATAATTGGTTACTGTGAGTTTCTAAAATTTTGTATTTTTTGTTTGGTTTTTGTCATTGCCTGTACTGTGTGCGCTTGCCAATGTAGAATTGTAGGCCCAGGTTGTTGAATATAATGGCTGTAATTAATTTCTAATGATGAGGGGAAACATTGGCTTGGTTCTATTTGTTAGACCATCAGGTTTTCGTTGGATTCAACTTGCCGTCGTTATTTACACTCCTATGCAAACGTAAACGGCATATTGTTTAAATAGCTCATCGACAACTGGAAGTTGGATGGCTGAAGTCAGAGTTTCCAGTTGGAATCTTTCAAATAAAGAGGATTCAATTGTCTTGGTATCCGGATTCGTGTTGTCTGTCTCAGATTGCATTGACGTATGTTTACACGACATGGCGTAAATGAATTTTACTATCAAATTATCTATTTTCTTTTAAACGTTTGTAAAACGCAATGAAATTTAAAAATGGATTGGACTATCAAACATCGCTACAAAATCTAGAGAGAATTCCGCATTGTATTTATCTCAGAACACATTATAAAAACCTTACACGTTTTACTGATTTCCTTTATACATAGACAAAGGAAGACTTGATGGGTGATGATGATTGATGGGAATGGTTTTTATAATCAAATTCCAGTGTCCAGACCATACAATCTAGGTTGAATCATCCACGATGGGTGTGTGTTTACCAAAAGAGGTTGGTTAATGTTTACCTCGATAGAGGCGATGACTGCTTATTGACCAGGGTAAACCATCAGGCACAGATGAAGCATGGAACAGAGAGTTCATTAAGAGATCATTAAGAAGGGTTCTGGTGATCCTTCAAGTTATGAACGACTGAATTGATCGTTGCTATTTTAATTAATACAAATCATTCATTTGCCATGGCCTGCTTATTTCTGAGTCTGGCTGCCTAACGGGGTTACAGTGCTATATACCTCCCTTGCAGTATCCTAAACCCATCCTTACAAAGTAGTAGTAGACCTACAGTCAAAGTGTCAAGTTTATAATTAACTGATAAAATGTCTGTGTATCATTTTTTTTCCAATATTCGTTCATAATACACACGCTTCGTCATCCTTGCTCCTCGATATGAATTGAAATCGTCACAGTGTCGTTGATTTAGACTCGTCTGAGATTTCCCCGTCACCTGTTTCCTGTTTCCGTCAAGAGGAACGTATAGGAGGAAAAGCCATTGAAGTTGTTTTGTGGAGTTTAAATATGAGAACGAATTATTTCCTGCATATGACTGAGTTATGCATTATGAATAATAGTAAAGTTAACGCCGACAGTAAATAGTTCTTTATGTTGATCTTGTTAAAGTGCCATTTGTGTCTTGGTATCTTGAGGTGTTACGTGTATTTGGTAAGCTTAAAAAAGTTATGCCTTTGACAAGAATCAGGCAGTTCCTTTAATAACAGTTGAAGGAACAAGAACCATTTGGCGCCCAAATTGACTTGAAGTATTCCTTCTTATCGTCACATCCTATTATCGTCTGAACCGGATCTCGCTTGGAAAATAAAAATGCCACTTTCTCGCTGGTACCTTGAAATTAATTTCTGTCGGCTTTCCACGGAGCGGGACCCACGATGACCTCCCTTTGGAAGTCATCCATCGATCGTCTGCGTGCGTGGGTGGAACTCCTTGCGCTCGCTTCCTGGTTTCTGTTGAGGGGAAAAAGGAGCGTCACGAACCGGAGATAAATTGCCATTTTGAAGCTCTTAGCATTGCACGAGTGGACTCTATTGTAACTATGGTAACCTGATTGTCTAATCCGTGCCGTGGCTGGCTATATACACGGGACGTCGTGGATGCGATGAGGTATTAATTCTATCAGTGACGGTCTATTCTGTCACCTGATATGGCGGGATGGTAATGCGATGAGGTGGGAACGGACCTCGCCTGTCCTGGCCTCAATCTTACCGATCAATCCGCGCACATCTCGCACCTTCTCCAATTTTAACCATAAGTGGAAAAATGTTAAAGAGGGCTATCTGGAGGAGAAAACTAGAATCGAATAAAAATTAAGACGATTGTGAATAATTACGATCCGTGAAGGTATTCAGTTTGTTTTTATTCCTGGTTGGTTTGCTAGCGTAACTAGACCCTAAACTCTTAGTTATTTCAAAGATCTACAGAGGGGCGCGTGGGGGTAACAAGTAAATATTTAGGAGAGCGATTTTCTAGGGCAGGGTTTGTTTAGTAGATCTATTGAGCGCTTAACGACTCAAGTCTCCAACAGCCAGAGATTTTGTTTCAAGAAGCCGAGAACTGCGATTGTTATGGTAGAGTTTCCCAGCTTGGTTCGTTGGATATAGTCTGGCTTTTACTTGAAAAAAAGCTCCTCAAAGAAGCAATCAATACATTGTTTTTCATTTTCTCATTCAAACAGAATGCTGGTTAATTTTCAGCTCGCGTCTCGTGTTTTCAGGGTTACTATAAGGTTCTCCGTACGTTGGAGCAAGATGTAAGCATTGTGACCCGTGTCTCGAACCTCACGTGCCGGGTCAGCTTTCATGAAAATGGAAATACAATATCTATACTTTTATTGAGTTAGCTCTTCGAAATATTACATTTTGGTTATCCGTGAATATAAGGCTATGGGTCCAAGCTCTGCAGTCGGAATGAAACCCCTTGGGAGTCTGGGTAATATCCAGTGGAATAGAAACCCTTCAGTTGACAATGGAGTATTGACACAGTGCAAAGTGCTGACTGGCGTGGAGCATTTCCACGCAAACTCTAATTAAAGTGCCGATCTGCGCACTAGCCATTATATTAGTTAAAATTGTCCTAGGAAAACTGACGATACGAAACCTAAAGCCATGGGCGTCTCCAGGACTTTTTCCTGGGGGGGGAGGGGACCATTTTTGACCGGCAATGGGAAATAATAACTGGCGACAGATGAGAACTGATAATATATGATAAACCCATTAAAGGGTCAAGGGGCGATATTTTAAAGCAATCCCTGACTTTCATCCCATTACCTCGCTTATTTTTATTGACTTCGTTTTTCCAACCTTTTCCTCCATTTTTTCAAGGGGGTGGGGGAAAATTCCCCCCTCTTGCCCCCCCCCGCGACTCCCATGCCTACAGCGGCGTCATGTGTGACCAGTCCGGGGGGGTGGAGTGAAAGAATGAAATGCTGTTAATAATTCGGCGTGATGTTGAACATTTTCGTTGTTGCCAGGAATAATTACAAGAGTAATTCTTCACTGTAACACCCAAAATAGTTCAGTGTTTGCATGTACATGTAATTACGCATCGGAGGATACCGGGTGATAAAAACAACGTATGAAGCAAATTACTCCGAGGTTGAATGGGTTTGAAAGAGAAGTCACATGAGTTAAAGTTGGATATTTTGTTGTCATTGGAAACAGAATTTGGTGGTTGTTGTACACCATAGGATAAATGGTGATTAGTAAACAAAACAAACTCCATGCAGAAACTGTGATAGCACTTTCTCAAAACCAACTTTTTCAACATTTCTTGTCCTCAAAATTAAGGTCTTGCACTCTTTCATCGCTGACCTTGGAAGGAATTTTGTATCGATAACTCCTGTATTTTGTTTTGGCAATTTCTGTCGTCTCAGACAAAGTGTTCTCACTCTCCGACAGGATAAAGTGATTCCTTTATGTTTACTGCTGCGTGTATAACGCAGTCAGACGTGACGGTATCACGGAAGAATGAACTTAAACTGACCTCCACCATGAATTTTTAAAACGATTGCCAGGAGCCACTTCGTCATATTATGAATGGGCAACTGATGGGTATCTCAGCGGTCAAGATATTTAGTTGATGTAAATATCACATCAGTCCATGTACCCCGTAAACGTGACGCCGATTTCAACGCGTAGTGAGGTATATCTTCAATGTCGTCCTAGTTGCCACGCTTGCAATGTACATTGTCGCCAGTACAACTTAGAGTAAAATGCCACACTTTACACAGGTCGGTAGGAAATAATAAGCTTTCCTTGTCATTCGTTAATCTAGAATAAACATATACAAAGTATCAAATTAAACAAAATAGTCTGAATGTCCCAGTGAGTAATACCAAACGGGTTAGTTTAAATCGTACGTGGATTATTTCACTTCCTAAATTTGAATCTTTTTCAACTCAACTACGTCTTCGCAATGGGCCGTAAAATTGGGGGAAAAAATCTAATTATACCTTTGGTAATAAATGCGACAGAAATTGCCCCTTTACCGATGAAAATGAGAACTTAGCACAGTGCTGCAGCAGTAAATGGTAGAATTGATTTCCATCTAAATTCCTACATCCCAGACAGGAAACAGCCGTCTAGGCGTCTGCTTCACCTCTGCCACTCATCGAAAGCAAATATGTTTTGGGCTTGGACGTTGCGATTCATTGTCTTGTCTATTTCATTCCAAGTTAAGAATGATCTCACCGTTGGAAAAAAAAGTTTTTCGCAGTTTTATTATCAATACGCAATCGTGCCTGCTGATTGTTTTGTTCATCCGTGTTTATGTTCTGCGACATGGTAACATCCTATAGGCTATAGGCTTATATTAGCTATATAAGTTATTACCGAAACCGCGAATAGAGCGGGGATATTGGAAATAGCAAGTGCTGAAATTTATCCTTTTTCAATTTTCATTTTCGATATTGGGCAAAGCAGTCATTGAACTATTTTACTTTAACTGAATTATATGGTATCAGGCTTTAACCAAAAAAGTAAGTAATATACATGTATCTGTGTGTGTATTATGTTAATTCTAGAGGAAACCTTCAAGCTGTATTTCCTATATTTGGACAATTTCTTTACCAGATGTGAAAATGACCATAAATCAAGCCAAACGCTGAAATCAATACAGCGGGCTAGCGTTCAACCTTGGCAAGTCCCGGTCAGACAATAAAATGATTGGCACTGCACACCAATTGTACAATTCATCTACCAGGAAATAAAATAATTTGATGGTGTTGTTGTCATCCCGTCTCGATGTGAATCTGTGATAGGGTTGCTTTGATCCGTACATCTCCTAAACTTGCAAAGACCTGGAATAAAAATCATCAAACTCATAACCTCGGTCTGACTGAATGCAGTCGGACACGAAGGAGCGTGAATTTAAGATAAGAGGGATGACACTTCGATTGTTGGAGCAAGTTTGTGTAATATATTTGAGCAAAACAGTCCTGGACCGAATATCTGAAGTGGTGCTTGCAGTAAATTAATTTTGTAATCAAAACAAAATGTAATTTAAATAGCAGGTGCATTCGCTTTTTGTTCTTCAATAATTATGAGTCAGTGCATCAATTTCTTCTGGTTCATATGCAAGTCAAATTAATTTCCCGTACGGTTTACATTGAACCGTTGGGCTCCGTGGAGTTGATTAAGCTTACATATTTGGCAGTTGGCTCGAGATACTATCTTCCTTTATCACTGATTAAATATTTATTTTTAGACAATTTGTTGGCGAGGTTGGCACGAGGATTTCAAAGAAGACTGAGGGTTTATGTGCTTATTATATTAGAAATAGACCTGCATTCTCCTGTTGAATTTACTGAATTGAGATGAATAAAATACGAGTTTTGTAATTTATTTTTAGTGGACAGTGTTCACCATTGGAAACTCGGATATGTGAAAGCTGAGGTCTGTGACCTTAGTCAACAGAGAGAGATAAATGACTGATTAATCCCAATCTGATTCAATTTCAGTTTTTCAAACTGAACTGATGATCCTATGTTTGATGGATTTGACGGTGTGAGTGGCGAGATAATTGGGCAAATCGACTTTTGCTGTAAATAATTTCATGCGGAGGGGGAGTTCCAGGCACGTCCCTATAACTGATGTCATTTTGTGTTGCCTGAAAATACTAAATAATACTAATACGCACTTGTTTGAAAGAGCTGTTTTTAAGGGGAAAGGGGTTCAGAAGTTTTAATATAAGGGAAAATGCGAATTGTAAGAGATTGTTTGAGGAACGGATCATTTTTAAATATAGTGAAAGGGAAATGGTAAACTGAATCAGGAAATTTGCTTCCTTGCAACCACATCCTGGGAGGCCTTGTTCGCTTAAATTGTTTCAAAATCTGTCCCTGAAACTACGCCTTCGTAGACGTAGTCTTGCTCTCTTTTTGAGTTTTGTTTCCAGAAATGAACGTTAGTTAATTAAACTAAGACATGTTTACATAAAGTTCATTCTGACTAATTTTCGATTTTATATGGAGGCTATTTTGTAATTTGTTATTGTGGTTCAGATAGATTTCACAGCAGAGGATCGTTCCTTATGTACAAATATCACTTTGCACGTTTTAAATTACACCCTAAAGCGTTGATCATTTTTGCTTGGCTGAATATAGAGCGCCTTCTGAGCGATCCATTATTGTCATATTTAATTTAGTTCTTGCCCATCTTTTGCCATTTTAATCCATGCTCCCCGGGGGTTTCTCAGCCAATCAGCAGAAAGCCTATTAGGTTCTTTTGCATATCACGCGCTTGGGGTAATGTGATTATAAGACATTAGCCCAGACTGCATCAATCACTGAATCTCTCGTAAGAGGTGATAATTTAAGAGTTTGATGACCCTCAAAGCTAAACCAGCCACGTCCCATGATAGCCAAGTCATCGTGGTCCCATCAACTGCGTGCTTGAAGCAGAAATTCCTGAAATGAATCAGGAATCGCTCCAATGATTACTCAGTCACAGGCATTTATATTTGTGTGTTATATACCGTGTTATAGGATATACATATTAATAAATGTGTATGAAACTAAAATATTTGAATTTGTAGATTAGCAAAACTAAAATTTAGTATTGCATGCAGTACTAAGTAGACAAGCAGGGATAAGACCAGTAAAACTGTACCGTTAAGTGCACATGGGAATATTTTATTTAAATCAGACAACCAGAACCCGCGGTCACGAGTTCAAGCAGTATTATTACGGTGAAAACACTCTACTATTAGGATCACTTTGCAAACAGTAAGTCCGCAGTTTGTGAGCAACGATGTGGGTGTTTACTATGATATTTTCCCTATCATTTTCAATTGAATTGTTACTCGAAGATCGACCTCCGGATGGCGAGTCTTCAATGTGCGGATCACGAAATGTCAAGCCAGGGCACTTCATTCAAGCAAACACGCCACTCACGTCCCAGGATAAACCTGATGCGATTAGTCATCGGAAAGTGAACAGAATAAATTTATTGACGACTTTCCATGAGGAAGCCCAGCCTGTACTTACAGAGTTTTGTAATGATGTAGAAAGAAATTTAGTTTTTCTTCCGACGTCGAATTTTCCTCCCTGCCTTTATTCCTGAGGGGGGAAGCCAGGCATAGCCGTGTCAAAATTCAATGGAATAACTTGGCAAATTCGGTGTAATGTTTACTGCCCATCCCCTAACACCAACAATTCTCTAGACAAGCTCGAAAAAGACACTTTCCGGGCTGTTTAACATGCAGTAATGAATCACTTTCCTTTCACAGCCTCACATTTCCTAAAAGATTTGGTTGTGAAAAATTTGATGGTTTATCATTTTGACCACGTAGATTGTCATTTTTATTTATGAATGAAATGTTCAAAATGTCCTCGGGGCTGTCAATTTCTCTCCGCGGCAATTGCATCATTCACACCCATGGCAGCATCTGATTTACCTGGCACTTCTACCGTTCCACGATGACGGTGATTATTGATGCGGAGATAGCTAGCGCAGATTTATTACGGAGAATCGATGGCCATCATTCTCCGCGACGACCGACAGGGTACTCGCAGGGCCAATCTAGCCTGGAAAACACTCCAAGGATTTAGGTTCGATAACCTCGATTCACTTGAATAACCATAAATTACTTTGAAGTCTATTTGCACATGTCTTGTTTTTAAGTTGGTTATTCGTTATTGGAGAATATTGGTGTCTCCTTTGGTTCGCTTTAAATGAGACCAAGGCACAATCATCATTCCTCGGTGCCTGACCAACTAACACATGTTTTTTGCTACAGTTTTAAACCGCGAATACTATATGAAGGTTCCAGCTTCAACCCTTTTTGTGGGGTATTTGAATGTCCATAAATTCTAGAAATAGTTCTTGGGATTTACACATGATACTTGAAGCAATTCAAGAATGCATCTTAACAAATGAAAATAAAGCTGGCAGACATTTCCTTATGCTTCGATGTTAAGAACATGGCTACGTTCTTCATACTCATATTGCCCATATTTTTACATGCAGAAGATGACCAAGAGCCACTAAAGATTCAAAGGGCGCCGCTCACTGGCATTACGTGTGTCTGAATTCTTTGCGATTTGATCTTGTTTTCTTATCAGTTAATTGTTAACTACATTGTGTCGGAAAATACACAATCCGAGCTGATATGTACCTAATTTTCCAACCATTCATTCCCAAGAATTTGGAAATCAAATAATGATCAGTTAGCAAATGCATAAAACATAAAACGCATAACAGTTCCGTTTTCGTCTAAGTCCATTGAAACTGGAAAAGTATTTCTTCTCGTGTTGAACTGATAAAAATAGAAATTGACCTCTCCGACCTTCAGACACGATTTCTACGGGCCAGTGTATAATGAATTGGCATAGCATTCCACGGTAGTTTTGATATTTGACAAAATATCGCGCACTTTGTACTGGTTATTGTAATATAAATACCCAACAGCCTCAAGTGTTTTCGTTTTAAATGCCTGGAAAGGGGCTTGACTATTATTGCTGTAGTATTGGCGCCATGTTCGCTGAATGATAATAATTGATCTCTAAAGAATTAAGACACTTGGTAATTGATGAATTTTCCATTTTTTCTGCAAAATTTGCTCTCAGTTTTCAATGCCGTCATTCTATTTTTCTAAATAATGCACTCGCAAATTAATACTGATTAATCGTTTCACTATAAAGACTCGTTCCGTTCATAACATGTATTACGTAGTTAATCCTACTAAAATGATAAAAGGTAATGGAAAACAGTAGTTCACGTTTACGTTTTTTGGATTTTAATTTTGCTCCCACTTGTCGTACATGTATTTATTTTATTTTGTGGGTTTAATTACGACCCATACCCTGTAGTCACGTTGGGAGCTGGTAAAGTGATCACTGGAAATAAACAAAACCACTGCAAAATATATGAAATTAAATGAATTGCTATAATTCTGAAATTCGCGTAGCTTCAAACGTGACTTAACCCTGCTGATTAAATTTCTACCTGGATTGTTGTCCATCTCATTTACTCCTGCTATTGAGCGGGCGCAAGAACCTTGAATTATTATCAAATGAAGGACCGAGACAACAGCATGAATCGCCTGACAAACTGCCGATAATGACTATTAAGCATGAACGCAAATGTAACCATGGCAACACTTAGACACCAAAAAGCGATAGGGGCTAATTTTGCCATATTAAATGACGCAAGACGACGCCACTGGGGAGAAGTCTAGATAACGACTTTCTCGTTTAGTGAGAAAATCGTTTAGGGAGAAAATATACAAAGGTGGCTTCGAAGAAATTAACAGGATCACGCGAGGGTCCATACGGAAAAAACCCGAAGAACTACCGAAAGATCCCAAACTTGGGTTTTATATATAAATATTTAAGACCTTCCCATCTTTAATTTTCCGCAATCATCATATAACGGAAGTTTTCGTACAATGAAGACATCTCAGAAACTTGCCCATGCGTTATGCACGAGATTTTCTGCATCCAATTATTTTGTACACTTTAATTAAAGTGACGTCCCCGTGTACCGCCAATATACAACCACTCTATTTACATTACAAAACAGACACTTTATTTTTTGTAGAAATATGAGTTATAATTTCTACGGCTAAAGAAAAATAGCTTCCTTGCAAAATAAAAATGATTCATTTAAATCTCGTGCTAACTTGACATGTACAGAGTTCCGGAATTGAACAACAGAGTTGACACTCTTCTCAAAGTGGTCAATCGAGAATTAATCGTCAATATGCAACTTTTTGTGAATTTTTTTTGCGGACGTTTCATCAATGTAAAAGCAAACGAAATTTTAAATAAGGAAAATGGATTTTTCATATTTCAGTTTCGAGACATTGTTGACCTTGCAGTCAGAACACTGATTTGCATATTCACAAATTGAAATAAAAGCAAAACAATATGAAATGTTCCCTGAAAATACAACTAAATGACGGCGTCTTCGCATTTCACGCTGTCTACCAGCGAAACAATCCTATAACGACTTCCATTTCCTGATCATCAAAAACCAGGTAAACAAAGGGTACATCTCTTGGAACCTCAAGTTCAACTTTAATTCAAATCTTGTCCAATGTTCCACATTTTCAAACCCCAAAAATTTCTACATCCAAGAATTACATTAACATGAACTGTGTTGCCATGGTGAATATTGAAATAATATGTTTGTATCCCATGATGTAATTTCTTCCCCGTATCTAAAAGAGGGAAACAATTAGGTAAACATATTCAGATAAAGAATGGACGCGCGACTTATTAATCTTGAAGCCGTAGCTAGCATTTTCGTGCACTTTTTCCCCTGTCTGGTCATACAGCCAAAATCTGCTGAATATGCACTAGCCAAGAAACCAGAATGATTGAACTGCAAGTATCAACGAGCAAACCTAATAAAAATGCATGTACACAGTTTGACCTAGGATGGGAAAAAACTAGAAAGGAAATCTTCATGAAACAAAGTCTGCATAACCAATTTTAGTTTTACAGAGTATTCCCCTTAAGTGATCATTAAAACAAGATGCTTTGGTCTATTAAGGTTAATAATAATGTATAGAAATTAGTTGTGAAGGCTACAAATAAAAAGGAATTAATATACATGTACACCAAATGTAACCAGAATAACTTAACATTTTACCCGTACGAAGTAGCATTATACATCTTTAATAGATCTCAAAGGGCCGTCTTATATCAACGTGTGTACAAAATTTGCTTTTCAGTTTTAGTATCTACATGTACCTTAACACACAGATTGAATGAAATTGGGCGATTTTCTAAATGTTAATTTTACAAGGATCAAAACATATTATGCAAATTACCAATTAAACACTTATACACGTGGATATATCAGCTTAAGTGAACAACTCTGCAACTAATTAAAACTGCAGAACAGAAAGTGTTCTTGATTTGATGGAAGTTGTGGCTGTAATTTTTATTTTGGAGAAGCCAAACTACAATTTCGCATTATTATGAGGAAAGAAAATGTTTTCTAATGTGATTACTTTGGTAATTATGCAAAACAAACTTAGCAAGCTTTTTTGTAAAAAGAGATCATTTTTTTTAAATCAATGAGAAAGATACCTCCTTAAGTTTATCTATCCTGGCCCCTCAACAAGCTGTGTTAAAGTTATTTTTTAAATGTACTTGTCAAGAGAAATTCTTGTCATCTATTTCTCTGAACAGATGGAAGTGAACAATTATAACACATGCCAGGGGAACCCCATCTTCCACCAAGAGCCCCCTATACACGGCTCAAAGCCGCAACTGCATCCAATCAATAGACCAAGCCAAAGAAAAATTTCAGGAGTTAATTCTAGTTCTATCATGTGTCTACCTCCATTTCAGACCTAAGGATGTCCGAATTCAAATATCTTCAAGAGGACAACCATTGCTAGGCACATTGCGGCTATAAGTGTTGAATTAATCTCCTACATCTGATGACTTGAGGGGATTCCTGCAACCTTTACAGCGGCATTTTGTACAGGGCACCTCCGATACAAAGCATGGACAGCGATGTCCCTGGCAGGTGTTGAGTCCAGGGAATTTACTCCCTGTCCCACAGCGACACCCCTCCTTTATTTCAAGCTTACGTCCTGCTTTTAAAAGTTTGGCTCGATGACCTGAAATGACGAGTTTTCTGGGTTTGTTGGACAAGGAGTGGAGGTCGATGAGTCCATTAGATGCCCCCAGCCGGGAGGAGCTTGATGATGAAAGGAGGAGGTTCTTGGTCCTCCGCTGATACTTCCGCTTGACCTTTGCGATGCTCAACCCAAGATGGAGGTTGGGTTTGGACTGAGAGGGATGACCCAGCTCCATTCTCTTGTTACGCTTAATCTTAATCTTTGGAGAGGAACTATTGTCTGAGTTAGGACTGATGGTGACTGAGTATTCGTCCACAGTGCCATCAATGGACACATACGGTTCCGCTTCACTGCCATTGAGCGCTTCCGTATGGTTGAGAACGCCCTGCGACTCCCTTCCCACTTCCGGGTGGTCGTGCGGTGTCACTGCGCCACTTGCATGACCGTTCTGCACCGAGTTACTCCCCGATCCTTGGGTGGAATTCATACTTGCTTTGGCCAGATACTCCACAATACTAAACCCTGAGATATCTTGCGACCTACTACGTTCATAATGGCTGTCGTTTATCGCCATCCCTTCTTGTAAAATCGATAGTCCGGAGCTATGGCTGTTTGTCCCTCCGTTAGCGCCAACAAGGTTCCGTGCAATCGGTGTGTCTGCTATGTATTCACACAACTTCTTGTAGCAAGAGAGTAGAATTTGTAACTGTTTGACCTCCACAAACATGCTGTAATCCTTACACCAACTGCAGGAGGGCTTGAGTAGCATTTTACCGCCCAGACAGCCCCGGCAAACGAAGTGCTGGCAAGTCGAGTTGGACGGACCCATTGGATCTTTGAGAAGCCCAGCGCACACACAGCAGGAAAGCGACTGTCGCAAATACGGCAGCCGTCGGTAAAGATCACTCCAAGTATTTGGGTCATTATGTTCGGCTTGTAGAATATACCGACATGTAGAGACATACAGAGTCGTGGCGTTCATCTTGCTATCAGCAGGCCCAAGATCAACGCCGGAATTTGTCCGCCAGACGGCCTTTTTGGCGCTAATAAACTCACAATTCCGTCCCAGTGTGAAGACCGCTCCATTCACAAATTACTACATTGATCAGCGACGATCGATGTTTACTGGCCACTGCTTACGTCATGCAGCTGCGACCTTCTCGTTACCAACCAACAAAATCTCGTAGACATATTGCATACTGGTCCCCGGCGTTGTGGCTGTACGGAGGGGTCTGGTTTCCGGCCGTTAGTTGCGCGTACAAATACCACTCTGGGTGCCAGGCTACTCGATCAAAAGGGTCACTGGAGAAAAAAATCACAAGGGCCGTATTAATAGGCAGGTCGCGTGAGTTGCGTGTCGGATGGTTGGTTTTGCGTCCTTGACCAGGCAAATTATTTATGGCAGGAAAATTGGGTGTGACCTGCAGCCTTAATATTGTATACTGTATGAGGGAAACTGCACTGTGCAATGATGAAGTAATTTTGGTTGTTTGTGTGGACCTGTTTCCACAAAATAGCCCTCGCGGTCCGTGTCCTGGATCATCATGACCACATCGGTCATGATTTTCACTACCCCGTTTTTTTCTGTGCCACTACAATGACGATCACCGCTACTACCATTAAGCACCACTGTGTCACCCCACACTTACATCTTATCGCCTTTGCCGGCACTATATTACTGCCCTTTCACCTTCACAGGTATTCATAACCAGCCGTAACCCACAAATTTGGTGTTGAAATTGTGCTATCAATTTTTCTAGTCACTTTACCCACATTTTGCCTGTCATTGCATTTTATCATGTTGGAATAGACTCCGAGAAGCGGTCCTGATCACCACCACAGCACCCTTCAGCAATCTCATTTAATTCGAACTTGAAGAGTAAAACCAAAACGTAATGAGCTCAGAAATGACCTAGGTTTAGTTTCCAACCTAAATCTAGCTCCCAGGCCCACCCCATGATATAGCTTGTGAAATGTCATTTCCCCTTTTGTTTGTCCATTACTTGACTGAATAAATTAATTTTTATGCACAATATTGTTGAATGTATGCACGCTCTGTTATAGTTGATATTAGTAACTCTGTTCCTTCTCCATTTTCACCCGAGCAAAGCAAACTGTCATCCATCTGGCAGGGTGCCAAGCATCGCCTGATGGCACACGTCACTGTGACGTCTTATAATAATTGCCCGATAGATATCTGAAATAGCAAAGATAAACGTAATAGCGTATAATATGATGGGAAGTGTGTCACTCGGTGTAAAATGATCTGTCCACCGAGTTACCAATAGTAACGGATATGAGATTTGACACTGCGCAAAAGTGAAAGGATCAGAGGTCGGTACAGTTCAAAGTGGGCGGCGGCATAGGGGAACAACCTTTCAATGACCAATCGAACACCTGCAAAGATTATAGGTAGAAAAGTGATCCACTCCCTCTAGACGTGCGTGTGACTTCCAGTCATAGCTAGCTGCGTTGGACACTATGCTGGACAGTTGGTAGATTGAATTAATTCTATTTTCGATAATTTTAACAGCTCATAGATACAGTGAAATTATCGACTGTAAACGTTGTAAATAAGCCTGAACGACACAGAGGGCGCCATTTACAATAACCGAGTAAAAAACCTCAACTCCGAGGAGTGACTTCAGAAAGAGGGCGCACTTTTAATGACCCTGAAAAAAGTAACCAGACTTCGTGCATAGGTGTATTACGGTTTATGCATGCAGGCCCCATATCGGCCGCATTTGGAAACATACTCGCTTGACCGGTGAAAGTGTACACTGTGCATGCAACTTGAGTCGCCTGGCTGGCTGTGCGTAGACATGGGACCTGGGTCGAAATTCGCTCATGTTTTCTGGAGGAATGGGTCGTATCTGAGACCTTTTGTGGCTCTCAAGGTGCAGACGAGGCCATGCACTATGGCCGTGCTCGCTGGTGTCCAGAACAAGATCGAAAAGAAAAGACAACAAGCCTTGCAAGGCGGTGGTCCGAAACGAATTGAAGGCCAGCACAAACGGGTAGGACCTAGGCCTAATTTACTAGGCCTAGGCTTGGTTTTTTATTAAGTTTTTCTTCAGGTGTAGTTAGCTTTTGTTGTGTATGTCAATTACAGGCTAGAGCTCAATTGCAGAATACCCCGCCAACCCCTCAATGATATCACCATTAAACACAGCAACATAGTTAAATTGCTAGGAATATTCATCCAGTCAGATCTCAAATGGGACGTGCAAGTTTACTCAGTGGTCAGACGTGGTAATTCACGTCTGTTCATGCTGTGTAAATATTATATATTTTACTCAACTTTTGAATAATAGTAACTCACCATTTTTTGTGTCCCTGTCCTTGCTTAAACTCACGTTGCAATGTTTTACTGGGGTTTTTACTGTTTGCCGACCGACCATTTTTAATATGTATCCTAAATCAATTGTGTAAATGTCCACTTTGCTGTTCAGAATGACTTCTATTTATATGCCCTACTGGCCTCTAACTCGGATGATGAATATCTTGTAATTTGTTTTTAATATTGTTTTTAGGTTCATCGTTTTAAGAATACTACTTTGTCTTTTTTGGTTAATTTTGTGTTGATGTTATAACTCTTGTAATCTTAAAATTTGTAAAATGCTCAGTAATTCAGCCTCTGGCTGCTATTTAGTTTTGAATAATAAACCAAACCAAACCCGCATGAATCTAGGCCTACAGGTGAAACTGTCACACTTTTCAGTCTTCTCCTCCTTGTCCTCATGGCATGGGGATTTTCACTGTGTACCCACGTACATGTAACCATGGTAACCAGCCATTTTAGGGGACTTTTTATTATTACTTCAATTGTTTCTTTAAGCATTTCCCCTAAGTTGCAAGTGGAAGGCCAACTCCAATTTTTGACATACCTGACATACTGTAGTCTGCCTCATGCTAGGGCCTACTGTTTCTTACATGTGTTTTGTTACTTGCAGGGCAAATTAACAGCTCGTGAACGAGTTAATCTACTTTTGGATCCTGGATCATTTGTTGAGTTTGACATGTTTGCAGAGCACCGCTGTACAGACTTTGGAATGGATGCAGAAGACAAGCAGGTATTTGACGTATCAATGGAAATTAGAATATTACCACTGCGTTGGGAATGAACAACTATGGTTTATGCAAGGAGAAAACAGCCAATTTTAACACGACTTAAACTGGTCTGGTATCTTGCGTTATTCTGTCAGTTTCCAGGTGATGGTGTCATTACTGGTCATGGTTTGATCAATGGACGAGTGGCGTATTTGTTCAGCCAGGATTTTACCGTTCATGGCGGTAGTCTGTCCAGTGCTCATGCTCGTAAGATCTGCAAGATCATGGACCAAGCCATGGAGGTGGGAGCTCCAGTCATTGGACTAAATGACTCGGGCGGAGCTCGGATTCAAGAAGGGGTGGAGTCTTTGGCTGGATATGCAGACATCTTTCAGGTAAGAAAGTCAAGTGGTAGAGTTGAGGGCAGTTTCTGTAGCATTGTGGCTAGTGTACCGTTTTTGCAATTACATGCCAAACAACACCGTCCCCAACTAGCAATGGATCAACCACCAATAACAACAAATTTGACAGATTTTCAATGCTCGGATATCATTATTACCCCGTACTCGGCCCAGAAACATTCCTGAAACCATCTCAGCTTCTTGGGAATCAACTTGGTGCAGCTACATGTCAGATGCACTCAAAAACCTTTACCAGTCTCAAATAAATATATTTTGTTTGTATTTCTGTCTTTCTTTTGCAGAGAAATGTCATGGCATCTGGAGTTGTCCCTCAGATCTCCCTCATTATGGGACCATGTGCAGGTGAGTTGCCATAGGGAGTGAGTAGGGCTAGGACCATTTGCAGGTGAGTTGCCATAGGCAGTGAGTAGGGCTAGGACCATGTGCAGGTGAGTTGCCATAGGCAGTGAGTAGGGCTAGGACCATGTGCAGGTGAGTTGCCATAGGCAGTGAGTAGGGCTAGGACCATGTGCAGGTGAGTTGCCATAGGCAGTGAGTAGGGCTAGGACCATGTGCAGGTGAGTTGCCATAGTGAGTAGGGTTGGCCACAGAGAAATATACTGTAGCTCTCCTTTAGTGAAACGGCATAAGATTGAAAGATGACCAAGCAGCCAATGAATCAGTTCTCCTGTCTTCTCCTTCTTCAGGTGGTGCTGTATACTCGCCAGCCCTGACTGATTTCACATTCATGGTCAAGGTATCAATTTCAGCTGTATGAAAATTACTCTGATTGAAATGTTTCATTTCTGTTCATATTTATCCTGTAGTTCTATGTGTAACCACATTGTTTTCACTTTTGATTTTTTGTCGACTGATGTTAATGTGCAGCACTCACATGTTTTCATTTCAGGACACATCTTACCTCTTCATCACTGGGCCTGATGTCGTTAAGGTAAGAACACGGGTTGATTTACAGCATGATTTTGGTAGTTGGAAAGAGTCAATTGATGTTTTAAGTTAGTTGCAAAGGCCAGAAATAAAATACTATATATTTAAGGAAATTGTATACTTTTCTGTAGGCTGTGACTCAGGAGGATGTTACATATGAACAGCTGGGAGGAGCCAAGACTCATACCTCAGTCTCCGGTAAATAAAGCCACTAGATTAGATCTTGCTCTGCAAGGAACAATAGGGGCACTTGATTGTATTTATTCACTGCTTACTTTGGGCCCAGATTTTTACCAGAATGTGCACAAAAGTATGTTTTTTTAATTGTACACTATTTGTCAGTTTTTGATGGCTATACATGGCAATATCACTAACGTTCCCTAATCTATTGTAATAAAGTTTGCGTTTCCCCATAAAGTGGCCTTTGTGTACGGAAAGCTTTTACATTTACATTACCTGTTTTTGGCCTTATGATGTTTATTAATCCCTTTTTTTTCTTCTTCTGGTAATTCTTCTTTGCTTCTCCTTTGTCTTCTGTTTCATCATATGTTCTGCATTATTCATTCCGCTTGTCAGGCGTTGCTCATGGTGCCTTTGAGAATGACATCAATGCTCTGGCCAGGCTGCGTGATCTCTACAACTTCCTCCCCCTAAGTAACCAAGACCCCGCCCCTATCTTGGCCTGTGATGACCCAGGGTAAGATACAGCAGTAGAACACAGCGTAACTGGGATGAGAAGTAGAACTCATTTGCATTGTTTACCCCTGTCATTGCAAGAGGAATAGCTTGCCTGTTATTTTGTTTCTCCTTATTTTGACAGTGACAGGTTGGTTCCTGTTTTAGACACCGTAGTTCCTCCAGAATCAAACAAACCTTACAACATTTTGGATGTCATTCAAGCTGTAAGTTAATATTCATTAATATTGCTTCCTTGTTTTGTTTGTTTTAATTTTCAAATAATCTAACTGCTGAATTTAACAGATTTAATGACAGGTATTTCCTGATCCCAGGTATTTCCTGATCCCAGAGGAAAATACTGGCAATTGAAACATGAGAAATTGGAAGTAGAACAAGTTGCAGCTTATGAGTTGACAAGTAGCACTTGATGTTCTTATTATGCCACCTTGAGGAATATTTTGATATCTTTGAGAATTGAATTTTGTTGTATTACCCACATTGCTCGTTTTGTTATTGAGTAGAAATATGGACATCCTGTTGTAAAATATTTCATCAGTTTCTACTTTTTCTGGCTGCAGATTGTTGACAATCGAGACTTCTTTGAGATCATGCCAGATTATGCTAAGAATATTGTGATTGGCTTTGCTCGAGTTGGTGGTCGGACTATCGGCATTGTAGCTAACCAGCCCAAGGTTGCATCAGGTCAGTTCATAGTCAAAGGTTGATCCACCGAGTTTCATGTTGCCTCAACATGCAGTATATGAATAGTACGGGTACTCTTATTGAATTTGATTGGCACTTGTAGTTTATTTGTTCAGTTTACCGACGGAGTGACTGAATGCTATCAGGGAAGGTATTTCTTAAGACTCAACAACTGCTAAATCACACCCATTCTCATTCATTCAGGTTGTCTTGACATTAATGCATCCGTCAAAGGAGCTCGGTTTGTTCGTTTCTGCGATGCCTTCAACATCCCTATCATCACTTTTGTTGATGTGCCAGGATTCTTACCAGGTACTCAACAAGAGTATGGAGGTATCATCCGACATGGAGCTAAGCTATTGTATGCATTCGCTGAAGCTACTGTACCAAAGATAACGGTCATTACTAGGAAGGTAAATAAGACGGAAGAATATGAATTTATGGGAAATGTACTTGAAGTGTAAACCACAGTGAAAGCATTTGAACCTTCAGACTGGCTCTTGACACCTTTAGACTGACACTTGAAACCTTTAGACTGGCACTTGAACCTGCAGACTGGCACTTGAACCTGCAGACTGGCACTTGAACCTGCAGACTGGCACTTGAACCTTTAGACTGGCACTTGAACCTGCAGACTGGCACTTGAACCTGCAGACTGGCACATTAATCTTGAAATCCAGCACACTACTTGGGCACTTGGACCTGCTGTGTAACATTTGGTGATCATGAGAGATGTGCTTGTCATTTACTGTGACAAATGGTATGATAGCTGCCAAAGGAATGTTTACAAGAAGTTTTGTTTGTCTGTGTGTTCAAATACGGTTAACTACGGCTCTTCATGGCCTGTCTGTTCAGACCTGATTGCCTCTCTGTCTCTTTTTTCCAGGCCTATGGAGGTGCTTATGATGTGATGAGTTCCAAGCATCTTCGTGGTGATATGAATTACGCTTGGCCCACCGCTGAAGTAGCAGTCATGGGAGCTGCAGTAAGCGCTAAGACAAACTTGTATATTTCCCTGATTTATATTTAAAGCACTCCACCAAATTCCAGCAGGTCCTCACCACTTACTTTGGTTCAGCAGATTGCATAGGTCTGTCTGCTTCATCACCTGATGGACCTGGCGTCTACCCAGCAGGCCTACAGAGAGTTGGTTGCCACAGTCACCTAGTGGCCATGCGATACCAATTCAAATCAATTGCATTCTATCTTTAATTATGCTCAACACAACTGTTTTCAACTTTAGGCATCTTACTGCAAGAGTAAAATGATTGCGTTTGCACCATGTATCAATCTCTTTCTTGAGATTGATACATGGTGCAACCGCAATCATTTTACTCTTCTAGTTTCTTTTACCATGAAAACCTTCAAGTTGCATATTCCACCGTAGATTTTACCACTGTGAACCTCTGTGAGTGCTTATTTCTCGCTCGTATGAGAAGGAGACAATTTTACTGATGTTTTACAACTACCATACTTTAAATTCAAAGCCTAGAAGTCATCTTCAGCCCTGATGTTATCCTTCTTACTCTTCAAGTTTCTGACTTGAAGCTAGAAAATTGCTTTTCTATTAGGAATGTGTGCTTTGGTTTATCCAGGGAGCAGTGCAGATCATTTTCCGAGGTCAGTCTGAAGTCGCAGAGAGGGAACGTGAATATGTTGAGAAGTTTGCCAATCCTTTCCCTGCTGCTGTAAGAGGTATGAAGAGCCACATCTGACAAAACATTGATAAGTGTGTTTCTGTGAACCTTCAGAAACATCCCAATACTCTATCACACTTCAGGGAGATAATCTATCGTTGCCTTTGTTTCCATAGGCTTTGTTGACGACATCATCCGACCAAGTACAACTAGACAAAGGATATGCAGGGATTTAAACCTCCTTGCTACCAAGAAGAAGAGCAATCCTTACAAGAAGCATGCCAACATTCCACTGTAAAAGAGTCCCGTTAAGAAGTCTGCTCTACTACCAAAGTCTTGGAGAGGTAGGGGTGACTTTAAACGTTGGGAAAAACCGTGTTGGGATCAAACAGTTTCGCTCATGGCTGAGAAATACTTTTAGGCTTCAGTGGTGTAAACATGAGCCATTTCTGAAAATGAAATATTACAAATAAGGCTAAAAGCAAGCAGCATTACGTCATCAGATGTAAAGTCGGGGCATATCGGTAGATACTTTTAGAGAATTCGTAAAAAATTATTGAAACTTTCCATAAGTTTTAGTCATGGAGGTGGGAATATTACAGCACCTGGATTTATCTCAAATGTAACAAGCTTGTGACTATAGAGCTCTGCCTACTGTTTGTAATATCATCTTTGACAATGTACATGTATAGGTTAAGGCGATCAGTACAAAAGAACAGGGTGTTAATATACCATGTCTTCATTTATTGTGAGGTGGTTTAGCTTAAGGGAAATCAACTTGTCAAAACGAATGAAAGAGTAAGCAGTAAACAAAGCTAACTCCTCAGTATCATTATCCTAACTCATGCAGGACTCAAAAGCTTGAAAGTACATTTGTACATCTTTCTTATGTTCATTATATCAATGAGAACCAGTATTTTTTACTTGGTTTCATTACACAAAGGATAAAATCATGGTTTCCAATGCACAAGATGCATCATAAATTGACATGTGCATGGTATTTACACCACTATCCACACACAATGTGTCAATTGTCGGTGTGCTGAAATTATCCTGTGTGTCACTTTGTAGTGCCGCCTACAAATTGCATCAAATACTGTGAAACCCTGCAATTCATAAATTATTGTCTAATTTTCTGTGAAAGGTGTAATTCTTTTCTTGGTGCACCACATCTGTAACTGCTAATATCAGTCATTGAAATAGTAAATATTTATCTTTGATAAATTATTTCAATTTTTGTTTGTAAATTGTTTTCCAAGTTCTCATTTCGTTATGATGGTAAGTGACAATGACATTAAGCCATCTGGCCTGACAGCGACAAACTGAGAAAAAAAAACTGTTGGGAGGTTTTAGAGAAGAAGAATTTCTTCTGAATTCTTCAATTGAGAAGAAATACACGTCCTTTGTCCCCACACAACAGTTTACACTGAAATTGTTGACTACTGATGAAGTGGTACCGATACACCATTGGCATAAGGGAGGGATTGACTGACTGATGGTACTGTCTTCAAACTTTCGTCATTCAACTCTTAACAAGAAGAATCCATGCAGCCAGACTTGATTATTTGGACATTTTCCTTCCAAATTTATTTCTTTGTTCTCCACTCTCGAGATATCTCCCACTATTCAAGAAGCACAGCACCTGTTATAACAATGCATACTTAACAATACACCCTTTGTTTTACTTGATCATTCACTGCTTTGTCACTACTATTGGTTTAAGGGTGCATTCGTTCAAATGCTGAGGGGTGCCCTTTGACAACCATAACCAAGAATTGGTTCAGTTAATTTTGGGGGAATTTGAGTTGTTTATCATGTTGCCCAATTCAGTTTCCAAAGAAAACCGAACCAATCCTTGGTTAATAGGACTAATGAAATGCCCCTTTGTTATGGATGTTACTTTTCATAACCTGTCAATAGAGGGAGTATGATATTTAGCTCCTTTAAGAGGGATGTGCTTTTTTGGAATCCTGAAAAAAAAATAGGGTATAGTCCAATCCATTCACTGAGGGAATGTATCGGATTACTCCGAATGAATTGATTATGCTCAGTACTGCTCGATAGGACAATACATGTAATTATACTTTTTGGCTGAAAAAGTAAGATCTGAATCCTACAAAGACAGGCAGTGACATGACTATCAATACAAGATGTACAAATAAATAGACATAATGGAACACAACATAAACCTCACAAAAATGCACTCAAGTATTAACTGAAACCATGTTTTTCTAGAAAATGTGTTGCAAATATGAATGAACTCTTGCACACAATTTAAAAAGCCACAAAATAAGCACATAAAATTGTACGTATCAATGCTAAATCCGCCAATGCTGTTTTAAATAGTTTGTTTCCTATTTTTCACAAACCATTGGAAACTCGAGTGCAAAAACTTGGCTACGAAAGATTTCAAACTTTGAGAAGGTACGGATTACGGTTAACATTTGACGCTCCACATGTAAATGCATTTTTTCTACTTTTTTGTCTTGAGGTACAGAACATAACAAATTTCTTGCTTGTACAAAACGAGATTCCAGCCTGATGTAATATAAATAAAAAATTATTTTGAAAAACCTTAACCAAACCCTGCAGTTGTTCATGAGATATTAAGTATTAAAGTTTGCATTCATTCAGAAGACAGGCTGACGGTAACATCAAATTTATTTTAAGTTGTACCCTACTTACGCAGTACTCAAAGCTCCAAGCTGTTCATTATAGGACTTAGGGAGTTAGCGCTGAGCACTGGTAAAACTATTGTAAGTACTCCCATTAATTTTCAGTTCTCAAATTTGGGATTTATTTAATTGAGTTGTTTTCATACTTTTTGTCAAATTTTTATCACCATTTTCCAGCAACTTGCTTGTTACACTAGCCTCCGACTTTGAATCATCGAAGATTTGAAACAAATATATCAGCAATTTAAGTTTGGCATGATAATTCAAGTTGATCTATCACACACAAATCTACTGTTACTGGCTCAATAAAACTTAAAAGTCTACAACATACACAGTGCAATTTTTAAAAAGTCATACATGCAGATTTTTAAAGTCTCATAAAATTTCCCATCTCATAAAAATACCTTTCATTCCTCTTATAAATAACTGTCATCATGCCACCTTTTCCTACTATGTGCTGGTTTACTGCTCTTCATATATATACATGTATATACTGTATTCAACTAAAAACAAGTCAATAACACACCCTTCAGCAACTCCCTCATTTTATCACCATTTTCATGCAGCTGTACATCTTTCCCGGTTGCTAAATTTATCAAATAACACAGACATCTGATTAAATACAAAAATGAAGAAGCATGTAATTTGTGCCAATAAGTTATTAAATTGATTTATACATGATGTTTATTTATAAAGCCCTCCAACTTTGTGTTTTCTTGATGAATTTTGAAAATTCAAAATTCAGACAAAATGTTGTTACAGTAGAAAACACTAAAAAGTGAAGCATCAGAGATGACATTTAAATTTAAGTTCAGAAACAAGTGTACATGTAACAGCTTGTGCAGTCCTAAACATGCTAATCGATGTGATATCCTGCAGCTTTGTTAATGTCAACAAAAGGCCTTTTATTCTAGCTGTTGAATTCTGTTGGGTTCAGAAAAAATAAGGGATGAGGGTAAGTAGAGATAATTGATACCAAATGTCTTGACAATTCATGCTTCTTTGTTTTGATTTAATTCAAAGATTAATACTGAGCTATCAACTTTAAGAAGTTATAATTTAATTGCAAAGGCCGAGTGAAATTCAAGTCTTTGGTAATGAATCAAATACAAGCAATAAGTTTTATCCTGAATTAAGCTGCACTTATTTGAGTTTCCATTGTATGAACAATTTAAGTATGTTTTAAAAAGAATAATGGAATTGGACATCAAAATACTGCACACAATTCTGCCAGGTTAGTCGCCAAGTAGATTCCACAATCGACTATCCATTACTATTCTTTGAAAATGACTTCATTCAATTATTAGGCTAACTTGAACCTTGCATGTTTTGATACAAAAAAATGCCCTTGCATTGCATGGCAGGCTTATTTTTTTAGCATTTTTGTTTGTTTTTTTCCAAAGGATAGATGTCACTACAGATTGGAATGCTTACAATGGGTTCAAAAACCATTCACACATTTCAGCTTTACGCACTGCACTTATATTTCAGAAGCATTCAATAACATCTCACAAGAATACATGTAGACACCATTTAGTCACAGTTGTGGTCAAAACTTTACATAGGCTTGGACTTGAGGTATTTAATTACTACTCCTGAAAACTTCCTACTCCTAGAAACCAATCTGTTGTTTTCCAGCTGACAAATTGGCCCATCTGCTTTGTTCACATTATAAATAATACTTACTTTATTCTTGTAAATTAGTTATGTAGATGAAGATGTTCTGGGTGATCACATGCAGAAACAATTGGCAGGAATTGGTTAAGTATTCCAAATGCATTTAAACACTGTTAATCTATGTTTATGTAAAATTTTGACAACTGTACCTTTTAAGTATTCCTACTTCAAACCCAGTTGAGCTCATGTTGAGAACATATTCATTATGTGCTGGATACCCTGAGGTCATTAAGGAAGAAGTCTTCTTCAGCTGTGATAAGCCACTATGAAAACATGCTAAAAGGTAACCATTTTAATCTCAGATTCAATTGAAACATTGGACGTATTCTTTAGAGTAACTCTAATCCCTTTGCTTTCTCCACTTGTCCAAAATGTAACACATGCTGCATTAACGTCGTGTAGTAGAACTGGGCAAGTCTTGGTGTCAAGAGCAATCATGCAAGGTATATCTAGACACCAAAGGCTGTGGCTCAAGATAGTCCAGAGCAATGATCCATGGTAAATCTAGACCTCAGGGGCTGTGGCTTACAATATCCAACAGCAATAGTACATGGTATATCTAGACATTAAGGGCTGTGGCTCATGACAATCAACAGCCATACACAGCAAGTCTAGCCATCGAGGGCTTCGGCTTACAATAGCCAACAGCAATAATGCATGGTATATCTAAATTAAGGGCTATGGCTCATGACAGTCAACAGCAATACACAGTAAGTCTAGCCATCAAGGGCTGTGGCTTACAATAGCCAACTGCAATAAACAGTAAGTCTACAAACCAAGGGCTGTGGTTTACGGTTTCAAACAGCGATAACACGCGGCAATTCTAGACATCCAAAAGGGTGTGGCTCATGGTACCTACACATCAGCAGGTGGGGCATAGGGCGGGGGTCTTGAGTTTCTAGGTGCTGGGATGGGTCGGCTTGTCTTCTGGATTTGATCATGTTGTGGTGTAGCCGTGGGTGTTGGCGTGGGCGAGACGACTGGCTGATATGCAGATGAGGTAGGATAAGCAGGGGCGGGGCTTCTCTGAACTGTTGTTTGGATGTAAGTCCGAGGTATCTGGGCGACCTGGATTATAAGGTAAGAACATCATTAAGGGATTTGAAATTCAGTTTACATCTTAAAATGCATTCTCAAGCAAGTCACTAAGTATCCTAAATAAGAGCACTAGCCAGAATCTTGCAGAGGATATAAATGAAATGTCATTTTTAGACAAATACAGTAGAAGATTGACAATGTATTCTAGAATGTTATTCATTTATTGTTTCTAAGGTAATCTGGAAATCCCTTTTAAATCCATTGCTTGCTTACCAAGTTTTTGTAACCACTGACCATCGCCGTGACAACCACACCAACGATGAGGGAGAAAGTCAGGAATGCCACAGAGGCCCAGAGGAGGTTAATGTAACTACTGACATCAGCACAGGATTTCACCCCAGAGAAGAAGGATGGTATCTCCGAAAGACTGACACCAAACAAATCAAGAAAAAAGGTTTCTTATCACATACTGTCAGTGTGTATGTGTATAACAATAAAGAGGTAGAAACCCAATTTTTTTTTTTAAACTGAAAAGTGTAAATTGACTTCTTTGTTCTTGCTTGAACCTGGCAAAAGGGTTCACTTTTAAGCCTTTCCTTCAGCAGCATTTGCAATGTTGAAGTGCATGTATTCAGCTTTCCAGCTATTACCAAGGTCATAACTCAGGTAAAACGTCTTCTCATTTTCCCCTTATTGACAATTTCCTTGAAGACAAATTGACATGCTGTAGCTTTGTAAGGCTCCTAAGCTTTCCCTAACCCATGAGCATAACCAGGCAGGAGTTGTTGATAGTCTGTCTTGAATAGGATTTATGCAAATCCTTGTAGAGCAGTTAATCTCCAGCTTGTCAGGGCCAGATTGTCTTCTTTATATCTGCAGACTGAGAGGCTCAGGGAGCTGATACAGATGCACTTGTAATTCGCTCCACTCAGTTTTTCCTTACACATTTGTGCTTTGTAGTAAATGTAATTTCATCCCAAACACTCAGAAATTCCAATGTACAACACTATGAAATAAAATCTAAAAACTGGATTCCAGTAATGTGTGTATTCAGGAATTTACAGAAATTGCTTAGAGTAACAACTGCTCATTACCTCACAGACTGAAAGGCACAGCTAGCTTCCCTCTGTGATGTCACATAGCAACAGTAGCATGTACTGAGCATGCTCACTGATTTTTCACATCCAGCACTGGCCATACAGTTGGCCAATCCTGTGTCTGAATGATTGCACTTCAATATATCCACTTTCTAATCAGAGAAGGGATAAAGACAATGATAACTGATGTATCAGATAACTGTTTTGTCAAATTTACTTGAAAGCTACTTTTTCAGTGTTAGGTCACGTCCAAAGACTTGATGACTTCTTGTTCCATCAGAGCATTACCAGATTCCAAATGGAATAACATTCATAGAATTCCAACCATGAAATACATGTACATATTTCTCTGAGGCTCTTCAAACCGAACATTACTCCTGATTTTGATAATAGTTTGTTTTGCCATTTTATTCATTCTGAAATGAAAATGTCCAGTTTCCCCAAAGCAGACAAGAACAATTAAAAAAGGCAATATGAAGTTCTTACGGAGACTGCTGATGCTGTGACGCCATCAATAATTGCACCAACAAATGCTAATACAATGCCAAGACCCATGCAAACTGTACCAGTCTTCATCCAACAACCACCTTCCTGTTTGTTGTATACTCCAACTAATGCCAATATGGAACCAAGAAGCAGCTGTAAAGAGAAGTAAACAGGATAAATGGTGTTAGGTCCTGATGGAAAGGATGAACTAATTTTAACTTAGAATTAAGATCAGAGATTGAGGTCTAAATACAAATGTATTTATTAGGTAGAACCTCAATTCAGAGCCAAACCTAAACAGGCTCACATCAAGACTTGACATGAATCAGGCTCGAATCTGTCGAGTTTAAACCATTAGGAAAGACACTCAGGCCTTTTTTAAATACATGTAAGAGACTCAAAGTTTGAAAAATGAGTTTGGCAGGGCAGATTTTTCTGAGCCTGAGGTCTGGGTCAACCAGTGTCTGAAACACTCAAATCTACTTACACCTCCGACAGCCCAGAATGATCCAGCATTGATGTTATGAATCATCTGATATGCCACTACTCCAATTGTTAGTTGTACAACTGACAGAGCTATGAGAACAAGGCAAGAAAAGGCAGCAATCTTTCGTCTTCTCTTGGCATCTGAAATGAAAGAACAATGCATATGGGAAGTAGATTAAGTCCAGTGTTTGTAGTTTCCGTTTCTTGGGAGATGTTAAAAAAGCTATTCTGCTCTTTACCAAAAATCCAGTTTCCAGGAAGAATGACAGTGCACTGGTGAAGTGGCAAGGTGGAACCTTAAAAGTTTCCTTTCTACACTAAGGACAATTCTGCTTTGTCACATTTATTGTTTTTATATCAAGTTCTGGCTAAATCTATTCATCAAGTCTTTCAAATCACCTTTAAATAATTTTCCAAATCACAGAAAGATTTGTTTACATATTTCTAATAGTGAAAAAGTTGCAGAATATAATATTCCTGTTACTTACCTGCCAGTATTTTATCCATGCTTGGTTGTTTCTGATCTTTGAAAATCTGCTAATATGGAATTATATTTCCTAATGTAGGAAAACAAATGTGAAAAGGGACTAATACATAGTCATATCAGTTACTGAATTTTCATGGTTAGTTTTGCTTTCAGTTTTGTTGCTGCATATTGTTTCTAAATTAGATAAATCTTCCCTGACCATCTGTTTATCAATGACACTCTCTTTTTTGTGGGATATGCCTTGCAAATAAACTGTTCACTGAGCTGGCGCGCAAGGCTCTATAAAAGAATTTTTAAAAACAATCTCCATTTGACCTCTGAGTGGTCTCTGTCCATAATAAATGAATATACACGTAATGCATATGAGACATTGTTATAACCCCAGGTCAGTCAACAAAGCTGAAGGTCAGCAATGGATAAACCTGGGTTTTCTTCATTTTGGTGTATTGATTGTGCAATTAATGCAAAGTGCAAGGACTTGCAGATGCTCGCCAGATACTTGGAAACATCTAATAATGTGCACTCTCTTAAATCACATTTCCATTGATTTTCTAAAACTGATATACAAAGTATTGAATGAAATTACACAATACTTTATCCTTATTATACTCATTTCTATGGAGTGAATGTCGGACAATTCATAATTAATCATGAAATTTTGAGCATGTACATGTAAAAATGGAAATCATTCTCTCGCTACTGTGCCATTATGATAAACGTTTATCTTCTTTACTTTTTTCACAACAGAAATGAAGATGTAATTCAGTAAGCTATCTTTTGCTAGGAACAGAGCACCACACTTTTTGAACATTCTCAATCAATCAACATGACTGTGGCCTTTGCAGTAACTCAACCAATTAAACTCAGACCTACATATAAGCCTGAGCTCCATAAGTCCTTGTTAATTAATATCAATCAATATTATTGACAAGGACTTATGATGCAAAGGGATACAACATTACATTCACTCCAACTTTGTGGTAAATAGGACTTTCCCGTGAAAACTGCAATCCCCTAAAAGCAGACTTCTCATGTGACCCGCTAAAGTGACAACTGTATTTTATAAATAGCAATGCCAAAGCAACCTAGCCTGATTACAGGTTATGCATGACTGAACTCTTTATATTATCCTAGCCCACAGTGACTGGTATGCTGTAACACAATACCATAATGAAAGAGGGAGGAAATATCACATCTGTACAGCAGTTGGACACAAAGATCACTGGAATATATAAAATCTCCTCTCAATAACGGTGTTTTCAATCCTGCCCCCAAACTGTTTTCTTTTGTTCACAATGCAGGACCTTGTCTAGACGAGTGCTTTGGCACAAGACATGTCTGAACAGGTCCCCTTTCACTCTGGATTACAAAAATCAAACAGAAATTAAATAACCCTGTGAATAAAGTCCAAAATAATATTTTCCTTAAATTTGCTTTTGCTTTTATGCTATTCCAAGATGTACAAGATGCTGAACCATTGTACACTCTTCTGTCCTTTCATTATTGCAGAAAGTTTGCATGAAATTTAATAAACAATTTTTTTGCCAGAAAAATCTAATGGGGCTTATGTTTTGCACTGTCAGATAGAGTTACATAACTAACAATAACAATGAAAACTAAAACTGTTCAGTATTCACATCTGCTATAACCTAAATCCCTAACATCCATTGTGAACACAACTTAGTGGTTTCACAATTCACAACACCTGCCAGAAAGCATGAATTTACGCAATGAATTACTAGTGCATGAAAACAAAACACTTCCATTTGGTTTAGTTTCTGTTTTGCTAACCAAGGTTGACCTTTAATTGTTTCCATTCAAGGCTTTGTTTGAAAACAGTTTTATCAATGTTGTGGGAAGATGGGCAGCACTGATGCAGAAACACGATGGAAATGTGATCAATTTTCTCTGTGCCTCAGAGCCCTTACACATGTTGAAATATGAATCTATCGTTTACATTCTTACATGGTTCAATCAAAGATTGAAAAATATTAAAATTCACACAGGATTCTTTTGTTGCTTCAAGAGAAAGTTAGATATTAAATACAATCTATGTAAGAATCCAACATACAAACAGAAAAAGGCTTCAAAAATGCCACATGGATAAAATCCTTCTGACAAAGATTTCATTCCCACAAAAAACTACATCTTCAAGGGCCTTATTAGGATATGCTGACATAAACATCAGCAATGTCCTTGCTGTATGCTCCATGTGACCAATCCATTTTCTTCATAAATTAGCTTAACTGATGAAAAATAAGAACAAAAGTAACGATTTCTGCAAATTTCAAGAAGTTCGGACCTTTTGTCTAGTGTCCAACAAAAACAAACATAATTGTC